CAGATCTGATATCATCGCCACTGTGGTGGAATTCTGATTAACAAAATGTGGATCATAAGATTCTGCATGTATCTTAATTATTATCATTTTTCTAGCTCGTGCCGTTTTTGAGATATGCGCCTTTAAAGTTGGCGCCCCGTTTTTTCTCATGAGGGCTGCCTACTTTAAAGACGCATATCTCAAAAACGGAATTTAGCTAGAAAAATGATAATAATTAAGATACATGCAGAATTTTATGATCCACATTTTGTTAATTAAAACTTTTTTTCTATTCGCCATGGTTTTTGAGATATGCGCCTTTAAAGATAGTGCACCTCCCTTCCGCATGATGTGCCTAGCGGGCTCGTCAACTAAGCCTATATCAGGGTCTTAAAAATTGAAAAGTTTGGATTTTCTCATGTTTTGGATTTGTCTGAAAACTTCAGAAAACACTAAACAAATATAGAGCTTCATTTTTGTAGTTGATAACTTTTTTCTAGCTATCACGGTTTTCGAGATATGCGCCTTTGAAGATGAGATCTCTCTCTCTCTCTCTCTCTCTCTCTCTCTCTCTCTCTCTCTCTCGCTATCCCAGATTTTAAAAATTACAGTAACCCACACAAATCATTGATGGGTTGCGGCCCATCGAGTGGACGACAAAACCCGTCGACGGAATTGAGTAAGTGAGCTCCATGGATAACTATTCTGACTTGAAGTGCTCCAACCCCATCCCGAATGACTAAAATAATTTTTTGAATTTTCGCCTAATATCAGTTTGCCGTATTTTATAGAAAAGTCTCAATCTCGGACCGGCGCCGCATCATCGTCATCATCTTCTGGTGGCCATAAGAACATCAACAACAATAACAGTACCAATAACAATAACAACAATTCAACGTCTTCTGGAGCCAAGAAGACGTCAAGCTCCTCAAATAAGCATCATAGTACCAAAAAGAGCAAACGGAGCAATTCGAAAAAGCATCGATCGCCAAGCCCTCAACCCCAACTCAGTGAGAACGAGATTTGTATGTGTTGTAGTGATTTTGTCTAAAAATTTTCTTCAAATTTTAAAATTGGCCTGGTCTAACTTTCCCTATATCTATTTCTCTAGGCCATCAAATGCATGCCCCGTGATTTTTTGCATGTTATGTGTGCATGCTAGATTTGACCTAAATAGAACTGAATAGCTCATCTACATCATTTTTTCTTATTTCCACGTCTCACTTTCTGACGTCTTCTAGATCATTTTTGAATCAAAATCATCCGGAAGCCAATTTCCGGTTTTGAAGCGTTTCCTATCTGAAATTTGACATTTTCAGCAATCAAATCAGCAATCCTAATTCAAAAATGGTATCGACGATGCGAGGCGAGGTTGGAAGCCAGAAGACGTGCCACATGGCAGATTTTCACGGCGTTGGAGTATGCGGGAGAACAGGATCAGTTGAAAGTGGGTGTCTTTACTTTCAAGGCGCATATCTTAAAAACCTCGAGAGATTTGAAGAAGGGGTCAAGGGCAAATTTGTAGAGAATGAAATGTTACAAAATTTGGTAGTTGAAAGTTTTTTGATAGCGTTATTGGTTCTGGAGTTATTCACCTTTAAAGTTTCAGGAGGCGCAGAGAAACGAGAGGACTATCGTTGTCTGCGTCTCGTCCTAAATTTAAAGGCGCATATCTCAGAAACCAGTAGAGATACCAACAAGTGGTCAAGGGGAAATTTGTGGAGAATGAAATTTCACACACTTTTGTACTGAACAGTTTTTCGATGACGTTATTGGTTTTTGAGATAGAGGCGTTTTCAGCTAGGGAGAGACCCAAAGAAACGAGACAACTATCGTTGTCTGCATCTTGTCCTAACTTTCAAGGCGTATATCTCAAAAACCAGTAGAGATATTAAAAAATAGTCAACTATAAAGTTAAAGGAAATTTAATTTTACATATTTCTTTAGTTAAAAACTGTTTGATAGCGTTTATGGTTCCCAAGATATTCAGCTTCAAAGTTTCATGAGTGACGACTCTCATTGTCCGCGTCTTGTCCCAACTTTCAAGGCGCATATTTCTAGAACCATATGAGTTGAAGAAATTCTATTTGCTACCAAATATAAAACAAAATTTTCTATATTCCAGCTCTACGACTTCTTTGCTGACGTCATCCGCGCAATGGCCGAGGAGAACGGGAAGACCGGTGGGGATAACGGAAGGAACTCCCCTCTAATGAGTGCCCTATCCCACTACGCAAAACCATCGTTAATGGATTCAGAAGGTGAAACAGTGAAGAAAATGTTAGAAGACACGTCGCCAGGAAATGTAGACGTGGATAGAAACTATAAGGGCCCAGTACTATCACTCCCATTGGATAAACCACAAGTGGCCAAGATGATTGAGGCGTTTAAAGTGAACAAGGTTCTACACCCAAAGTATGTTTTGATGATTCTTCATGAGGCGAGAAAGATCTTTAAGTCGATGCCGAGTGTCTCCAGAATATCAACGTCAATTTCGAATCAGGTGAGGTTGAGTCTGAAGAAGTCCACCCAAAGCGTCAAATTTGAGCTTAATTATCACAATTCCTGTGAGAGATATCAAAAACTTGTCAAGTGATAAAATATTGATGATATTATGATAAATATTTTGTCAGTTGACAGATTTTGTATACCTCTCACAGGAACCGAGTTAAATTGGGTGAAGTTTGGAGGTCTGCAACCGAACGCGTAGCTCAGCAGGCAAGAGGCGACTTTGAGCTCATATATCTCGGTTACTGTAAAAGATATCAAAAAATAATCAACTGACAAAATGTTTATCATATTATTAGCAACTTTTTGTCCGTTGACAAATTTTTGATATCTCTCATAGGAACCGAGATAACGAAGTTGTTCCAACTGTTCTCTTTCCAGATCACAATATGCGGGGACCTACACGGAAAATTCGACGACCTCTGCATAATATTATACAAAAATGGATATCCATCAGTCGATAATCCATATATATTCAATGGAGATTTTGTGGACCGAGGCGGCCAATCGATTGAAGTCCTTTGCGTTCTGTTTGCCTTGGTGATAGTGGACCCAATGTCGATTTATTTGAATCGGGGGAATCATGAAGATCATATTATGAATTTGAGATACGGTTTTATAAAAGAGCTGTCTACGAAGTACAAGGTAAGGGGCTTTATTTGGCTTCAATATTTAGAAAAACTAAAAAAGTTTTAGGACCTCTCTACACCGATCACTCGCCTCCTTGAAGATGTATTCTCTTGGCTTCCAATCGCCACTATAGTTGATAAGGACATTTTTGTGGTACACGGAGGGATATCAGACCAAACAGAAGTTTCAAAACTAGACAAAATCCCACGTCATCGATTCCAATCCGTTCTAAGACCTCCAGTTAACAAAGGAATGGATTCTGCGGAGAAGGAGAATCAGGCAGTTAGCGTTGATGAATGGAAACAAATGTTGGATATCATGTGGAGCGACCCGAAACAAAATAAAGGATGCTGGCCGAACGTCTTCCGTGGCGGTGGCTCCTATTTTGGCGCCGACATCACTGCGTCATTCCTGGAGAAGCATGGCTTCCGATTACTAGTCAGATCCCATGAGTGCAAGTTCGAAGGATACGAATTCTCGCATAACAACACTTGTCTTACGGTATTCTCGGCTTCAAACTACTATGAGACGGGCAGCAATCGAGGGGCTTATGTGAAATTCATTGGGAAATCGAAACGCCGCATTTCGTTCAGTATATGGCTAGTAAGACGCACAGGAAATCGACGTTAAGGGAGAGATTGGGAGTTGTCGAGGAGTCGGCTGTGAAGGAATTGAAGGAGAAGTTGAGCTCATTTCATACAGAGCTACAAAAGGAGTTTGAAAATGTGGATTTAGAAAAATCCGGTGAGCTTTTTAACACCATTTTTTTATAGCCAATTTAGCATGTAGGAGTTGAAGTTAGCTTAAGTCACTCTTAAATTATAGACTTACAAACTGGACCACAGCTTTTTCCAGCTTCAGTATTTTTTAACCAAATAGAGTTGATATGAGACAACTTAAAAATTGCTAAAGGTTGATATAAATTTAAAAACTCTATCTTACCTTTGACAAATTTGAATTGAATTTACGAAGGGTCAAATAGAGAAAAGAGGTTTCTGGAACCCCTCAGCTTCTATGACCTATAGCTTTGTTCATAGGAAAGATTAAGTTTAAAAAGTTTGAAATCTTGTAGTGATAGTCATGTGCTATCTCACCCAATTTAGTTTGTTTAAAAATATTGATCCTGAGAAAAGTTACGGTAACATCTGAAAGAGCCGAGAGCCGGTCGGCACGCTTGCCAGCTGAGCTGCGCGGTCGGCTGCCGACCTTGCGACTTTGAGCTAATTTATCCCATTTTCTGTTAAAGATATCAAAAAGTGGTCAACTGACAAAATGTTTCTCATAATATCAGCAACATTTTGTCAGTAGACAACTTTTTGATATCTTTAACAGAAAATGGGATATAGCAGCGCAAAGTTAAGAGGACCGTAGGCGATCGCGTAGCTCAGCCGGCAAGCGCCGACTTTTCAACTTCAAGCTCATATATTTCATTTTCTGTGAGAGATATTAAAAAGTAATTAACAAACAAAATGTGTATTATATTGTCAAAAGTATTTTGATAGTTGACAACTTTCTGATATCTTTCATACGAAATGAGATATCTGGGCTTAATGTTGATGGTTTGGAATGGGGCGTTTCATTCGAGTTTTTCCTGTGTAGCTCCTCAATCTATCAAAATGTGATAAGCGAAAATGTGAATTCCTATTTCTGCAGAGACACCAAAAACCGTTTTCCAGGCAACCTCCCAATCCTAAAATGGAGTGAATGTGTGGAACGAATCACCGGTCTCAACCTTCCATGGATCGCATTGGCGCCAAAAGTGGCAACATTAAGTGACGACGGAAAGTTTGTAAACTACAAAGAAGACAGAAAAATCGCACAAGTTGGAGGCACCCATGCACAGGAGAAGGATATTGTCGAGTCGTTGTATCGCCATAAAAGTACACTTGAGACACTGTTCAGATTCATGGATAAGGATAATTCTGGACAAGTGTCCATGAAAGAGTTTATTGATGCTTGTGAGGTTGGTTGATTTTACATTTTAAAGGTTCCAGTTCATCAAAAATTGAATTTCCTCTTGATTTTGGTTTTAGTGTGTCACTTTGAACTGATTCTCAGCTATTTTTAATGTCAGAAACACAAAGATCAGGCGACGGCCTAACTTTTACAAATTTTAGTCCACATGCTTCATTTCCAACCAGTTTTTAGCTAAAAATTATAGTGAAAAGATCCGAAGTGGCCGAGAAATCTCAAAATTTAGGACACCGATTTCATCTGAAATTTCCCAATTTTCAGGTCCTCGGAAAGTACACCAAACGCCCGCTGCAAACAGATTACATTGCTCAAATCGCCGAATCGATCGATTTCAACAAAGATGGATTTATCGATTTAAACGAGCTTCTGGAGGCATTCCGATTAGTGGATCGACCCCTTTTGAGATGATTTTTATTGATTTTTCGTCCTCCTCAATCAATTCGTGTTCCTCAATTCGCATGTATCACTTGATATTATCATCTAGTTTTTTTTTCATATTCCTCGATTTTTAAAAGAATTTCCTCCTGGAGACTACTTGAATTTTAGCGGGTTGTTCTTTTTTGTTTTTATTGGACTAATTGAAAAAATAAATTTTTTTATTCAAAAAAAGTTGAAAATTTTGGAAAGCCCTTATCTAAACTAGAGCTTATTTTTTGTAGTTGACAACTTTCCCTGGTTCCCTTTCCCTGGCTGCGCGGTCGGCTGCTGACTTTGCGACTTTGAGCTAATTTATCCCATTTTCTGTTAAAGATATCAAAAAGTTGTCAACTGACAAAGTTTTCGTTGTAATTTCACACACATTTTGTCAATTGACCATTTTTTGGTATCTTCCACAGCAACCGAGATATATGAGCTCAAAGTCGGGGCTAGCTGGCTACTACGCGGTCGGCGCTTGTCTCAAAAAATGTCCATTGGCTTTCAATTCTTCTTATTAGTAGTAGTACATAGGACATACGGAATCCACTAATCCCATGTAGATACAAATATTAATCTTCTTTTATCTTTTTCTTCTCAAAATTCCAATTTTCGACCCCAAATCTCCATCTGCTTTTCTCATTTGCATCCATCGCACGTCTCCTAGTTTTTCTTCTAGGACATGTTCTAGCCGTCTGGGCTCTCTCTCTCTCTCTCTCTCTCTCTCTCTCTCTCTTTTTTCTTTCAAGCCTCTTTTTCTTTCAACGACTCCACGGCACATCGCCTGAAAGCCAGAAGTGTCTATTTCTCCTTTTTAGAACTACCATTCAGCTTTTCTGTTTGCATAGTTCAACTTTTAAAAGGTTTTTATTTTATTTTTGAAAGCTTTAAAGAAATTTCCAGATGCCACCCAATAAAAGAAAGAACAAAAAGAAAGTCCCGAAACCAAAAAAGTCGTCAGGCTTCGAATTTTTAAAGCCAACAGTCCCAAAAACAATACTTTCACCAAATGGACAGGCTAATATGGAGAGTCAGGAAGCATGTCTTCATTTATTCACAATGGTCGTTTGTGGAATCAATTGGAAAATGAGAATGTTTCAAGACAAAGATGGAACGGCAAGTATCCAACATAAGCTGATGGAGGTTCTCGTCAAGTACACCAATTGGCCTCAGGTTGGTTTTTTGAGCCAAGTTATCTCGGTCCGTGTAAAAGGTATCAAAAAATTATCAACCGATAAAATGTATCTGATATTAGGAGAAACATTTTGTTAGTTAAAAACTTTTCTTGAATTTTAATGATTTTTGAGATATGCACCTTTAAAGTTAGCGCTATAAAAAAGTTGTCAACTAAAAAAATATGTAAAATTTAATTGTCTACATTATTTTAGTTAGCAATATTTTTCTAGGCGTCATTTTGCCTTACGCGACGGAGTCTGAACCCGACAGAAGGAATGGAACCGTGCTTTCTTTAAACGTGCATATCTTAAAAACTATATTACCTAGAAAAATATTGCTAACTGAAATAATGTAGAAAATTAAATTTTACATATTTTTTTAGTTGACAACTTTTTTTTAGTTTTTATAGTTTTTGAGATGTGCGCCTTTAAAGTTGACGCCTCTTTTTGCCCTGCACCTAGTAGGAAGGGGAATCGCGCCTACATTAAAGGCGCGTATCTTAAGAACTGTATTAGCTAGAAAAATATTGCTAACTAAAATAATATAGAAAATCGAATACTACATGTTTTGATAACTGACAACTTTCTTCTAGTTTTTATAATTTTTGAAAAGTGCGCCTTTAAAGTTGACGTTTCTCTTTGCCCTGTTCCTGACAGAAATAGGGGAGGCACGCCTACTTTAAAGACGCATACCGTAAAAACTCTATTAGATAGCCACCCCTAATTGAATGCCAGCCTCTAATATAGTGCCATCCTTGAGCAAAAAAAAGGTTTCAGGATGTTATTTTGTCAAAAAAGGTTTCAGGATGTTATCAGACTCCGACAGTTAGCAGACTCTAAGAAAGACGTAGAAAAATAAAAAAATTGACAGTCATTTCATGAAAGAGTTGAAAAAAAGTATTTTTGTGATGAATTTCGGTAGAAATTGGCACCGAACAATAAAGCCAGCCTCTAATTGAATGCCCCCCTAATACAGTGCCACCCCAGACTATTTTCGAACAATAGAGCGCCATGGCTATCTAATAGAGTTTTTACGGTATCTCAAAAACTATGAAAACTAGAAAAAAGTTGTTAATCAACAAAATGTTTATCATAATATCAGCAATATTTTATCAGTTGACTACTTTTTGATATCTTTTACAGGAAATGAGATATATGGAATCAAAGTTGAGAATATTAAATTGGAGGCTATTTAAAAATTGAATGCTCCCTTTGCAGCCTTTCAAAATCGCTCTCTCCGTGGTCCAACGGGACATTGCAACACTTCAAAAACTCCCTTCCTATCCTCCAAACCCTTCAGAAAACGTGTCAAAAACGCTTCTAGAAAACCACGATAGCCTAGAAATGATCCCAACCCAAAAATACTACAAGATCTGCAACGAATACACACTGGCTCCATATGATCCAGGAGTTGCGGAGAGTACTGTATGGGAGACTCAATTATATTTGATCACTGGATGGATGATGATGTTTTTGCAATCCGAGTGGAGATCCAATGAGCAAGTCTGCGAGAAACTTTGTGAAGCGATGATGGATCGAGTGCCAGAGAGTGAGAAAATGAATCATGTCAAGAAATTTGTGAGTGTTTAAAAAAATAGGAAAAAATAGATCTTCAGTTTTAGAGTTGACAACTTTTTTCTAGCTATAACAGTTTTTGAGATATGCGCCTTTAAAGTTGACGAGCCCTCTAGGCACACCAGGCGGAAGGGTGGCGCGCTATCTTTAAAGGCGCATATCTCAAAAGCCATGGCAACTAAAAAAAAAGGTTTCAATTAACAAAACGTAGATCATAAAATTCTGCATGTCTGTTAATTACTATCACTCTTCTAGCTAATTCCGTTTTTGAGATATGCGCCTTTAAAGTAGGCGCGGCTTTTTTTCTTTTTTTCATGAGGAAAAAAGGGGCGGCAACTTTAAAGGCGCATATCTCTCAAACCATGACAGCTAGAAAAAAGTGGCCAAGTACAAAAATAAAGCTCTATGTCTGTTTAGTCGATTCTGTAATTTTCAGTCAAATCCAAAAAAATTTGAGACTTTATTTAAGACAGCTAAACTTGACAATGACAACTAGAATTATATTAAAAAAAATTAAAGATAAGACATTTTCAGGAAAAAATGGTGGGATCCTTGAAACGACACAACAAACCATGTGTACCAGAAAAACCAAATAGTCTACCCCTGCCAACGACTCCAATCACAAGACTCGGTCCAAATGAAGAACTGATAATGGAGGGAAGTGAAGCCGCATTTCATACATGTACCCTACTGCTTTGTGGAATTAATTGGAAGAGAATTAGTGAGAATGTTGACGAATTGGAGTATTACAATTTTAGAAATACCTTGTATGAAATTGTGACCAAGTATTTGGAGCCTGGAGTGGTAAGTTTCGAATGTTTTGAAATTCATTTGAAACTTGAAAATTCAAAATTTCAAAAATGTTGTCTGAATTTGAAACTCTTTAAAAGATCCAGGATTGCTGTAGATTTTTGGAAATCTAGGGTTACTATATTTTTGAGAACCCAGGAATACTGTAGATTTCGGAAGTCCAGGATTACTGTAGATTTTGGAAATCCAGGATTAGTATCAATTTTGGGAATCTAAGATTAATGTAGATTTTGGGGATCTAGGATTACTGTAAATTTTTAGAAACCAGGATTACTGTAGATTTTGGGAATCTAGGATTACTGTAGACTTCAGAAATCATGGAATACTGTAGATTGTGGAAATCCAGGATTACTATCAATTTCGGTAATCTAGGATTACTTTAGATTTTGGATACCCAGAATTACGGTAGATTTTGGGAATCCAAGATTACTGTAAATTTTAACTATATCCAGGGTTGCTATACAAGCATCAAAAACATAATTTCTTTCAGGCCAACCCAGTAAAATACCATGAAGTTGTCAAAAATCTGCTACCCCTTCAAAAAGGCGAATGGTACAAACACCTCCCAAAGGAGGATCTCAACGAGACCCTCCTAGAGCATCTGGACTCTTTCGATGAGATTCCAGCACAGAAACTTCGAGACATGTGCCTGAAATTTGGGGTTCGAGAGCCCCTGGAGCCACCGAATGAATCGGGAAATTATCTTGTGTGGAACGCCAGAAAACACCTTCTGAAATCTTGGTTTGCATTGTTATTCTACGATCAGCCACTATTTCGGGAAGTGTTGAATGTTGCGATTCAGAATCGATCTCCATGTGTAGGTTTTTTTTTTTGGAAAATTTTTCTAATTTTCAGTGAATTTTTGGCATTTTCAGGAGTCTATAACCCAGCTATCAAGTATCCATTCACTTTGAAAACTGTGGAGGGTCTAAAACAGACCTTGATGAAAACAGTAGCGCCTTTAAGCTTCCAATAGGTCGATGCACCATGTCGGGATGTTTAAAGGCGCATATCTAGCTTCAAAATTGAGATAGAAGAATGAAAGTCATACCGTTTTGTAGATAATTTCAAGGGCTTTAAAATATTATAACATTATTTTTAAAAACCTCAATCGTTTCCAGTGAAGAAAAGGCAAAAAAGGTGTCTTAGGGAAATGCATTACCTGGAAAAATTTTTCTAAATTGGGTTCTTCTAAATTGCATAATTTAAATGACCAATTGCGAAATATCAATGATATCGTTAAAACTCTTTAAATTACCTACAAAATGGTGAAACTTTCATTTTCCTATCTCAATTTTGAAGCTAGACATGCGCCTTTAAACTTCTAGAAGGTCCATGCACTATGTCCGGATGTTTAGAGACGTATATCGTTTCAAAATTAAGATAGAAAGATGAAAACTATACTATTTTGTAGATAATTTAAAGAGCTTCAAAATTTTAAAGCATTTGTTATAGGTATCCAGTTTCTATCATTTGAAATCATGACATTTAGAAAACCCCCTTAGAAAAGGGCAAAAATGGGGTCTTTCAGAAATTGGCAAGTAGCTGAAAATCTAGGAATTTTTGAAAAACTCAGTGAATGTAAATTTTTTAATCTAGTTTGGTTGTATACCCTCAAAAACTTTCAAAGAGCTTGAGACTCCTAAAAATTAATCTAGTGAAAAAGTACTGTAATTCAGAAATGCTGCCAAGAGAGCCAACAACTGAAGCATCAGGAAACCGATGCTCAACTAGTTGCCAATAATAATCAATCGATAATTTATGCAACAACTCCCATCACCACAATCAATGAGGAAGGAGAAAAAGTGATGAGTGTACATGAGGCTGTATTCTTTACTGTCATTTCGGTGGTTTGTGGAATCAACTGGAACGAAATTGAGGATGAAGAGAGGAAGGAAGCATTCAAAGAAGATTTGTTGGCAATATTGGAAGGGTATCTGGATTTGGAGAATGTTAGTATTGGGTTTGATACAGTATCATACTAATAGAATGTTCTCCTAACTTTGAGCTCATATATCTTGGTTCCTATAAAAGGTGTCGAAAGCGTAGCTCAGCTGGCAAGCTGCGAATTCTTATCTTTGAGCCAACTTATTTCGGTTCCTTTGAAAGATTCAAAAAAACGGTCAACTGATAAAACGTTACTTATATTATGATAAACATTTTATCAGTTGAGACGTTTTTGATATCTTTAACACAAATCGAGTTAAATTGGCTCAAAGTTAAGAAGTCGGCAGCGCCCCGCGTAAAACAACAAGCCCCGACCGCGTAGAAGCCGGTTTGTGCCGACTTCGAGCAAATTTATCTCGGTCCCTCTAAAAGACATCGAAAAGTGGTCAACTAAAGAAATATTAGTGATATTATGATAAACATTTTATTAGTTGACCTCTTTTTGACATCTTCTATAGAAAATGAGATATATGGGCTGAAAGTTGTGCGGTCGACAGGCGATAGCTTTGCTCAGCTGGCAAGCGCCGACCGCGCAGCAGCCGGCTAACGCCTACTTTGAGTCCATTTATCTTGCTTCCTTTGAAAGATATCAAAAAGTAATTAACCGATAAATTGTTCATCATATTATCAGCAACTTTTTATTAGTTGACAGATTTTTCATATCTCTTACAGTAACCGAGATAAATTGACTCAAAGTTAAAAGATCGGCAGGCGATCGAGTTGCTCAGGCGGCCAGTGCCGACCGCGTGGCAACCGGAATTTGAACCCATATACCTCGGTTCCTGTAAAAGATATCAAAAAGTGATAAACTTACAAAATGTTCATCATATTATCATCAACATTTTTTTAATTGAGGTCTTTCTGACATCTTTTATAGAAACCAAGATAATTGAGCTCAAAGATAACAAATCCATTTTTTTTCAGGGAACCTCCATCTCTCTCCGTGACGTACTCAAAAACATAATTCAACTAAAACAGGACCCATTTTATGAGAAACTTGACAAAACCAAAGTGTCCGAGGCCCTTCTAGAAGATCGCCGACAAAACGAATGGGTCGCACCGCCAAACTACGTGGAGGCCTTCAGGAAATTTGGACTGAGCAATTTGGGAGCAACCACCAATGAATTTCATACTGTAGGAGAATTACGGGCGACACTTATGATATCCTGGTACCAAGCGATGTTTGATGATGGGGTGGAAAGAAGGGAACTGCAAAATGCGTTTTGCTCGAATGTTCTGTGGAGATTGCCATCGGATAGACGTCCTAGTCATCAGCAATATTTGGTAGGTTTTTGAATCAAATCTTTGAGCCAATTTTTCTCATTTACTGTAAGAGATATCAAAAAGTGGTCAACTGATAAACTATTTATCATAAGATCAATAATTTTTTATCAATTGACCGCTTTTTAATATCTTTTACAGGAAATGAGATATATGAGCCCAAATGATTTTGGATCAATTTTTAAATAAACTTTTTTCAGGATGCGCTTATGGGTAACCTCAGTATGGATGATATCTAATCATAGCCAACAACTAGGGAAATTGAAAATTTATCAATTTTATTTTATATTTAGTAAGTTTTTTTCAATTCAAATTACCAGAAAAAAACTCTAAAAGAATGAAATTTAGAAGGACTGAAAAACTCTAAATCGAATTATATGAAATTCAAGAGTGTCATTTTCGAGCCCATATATTTCATTTGCTGAAAAAGTTATAAAAAAGTTGTCAACTGATAAAATGTTTATCATAACATCACCATTATTTCATCAGTTGACCACTTTTTGCTATCTTTTGAAGTTTTTATTCATAATTCCAATTTTCAGAGCAACGATTCAACACTCCAGTGATCAGCGGAACTCAACAGGATGCTTTTTTTTAAATTGAAACTATTTTTGAATCCACTTTACTTTTTTTTCAAAATTTTTTTGAGTTTAGTAATAAAGACTTAAAGGAGGCCAAACACCAAAAAAAAAGTTTTCCTGATATTTTGCATAGAGAACCCCCATGAGGGGGTGAACTCATGACAGGCAGCTCAGGGGTACAGCGCCGCTACCGGCTGAGCTACGGGGGGGCGCGAAGGCGCCTGACGACCGATGGTCTACATAAGCGCGGCGCGATTTCGTGCCCCGAACTGCCCCCCGAAATTTTTGCTGTTCCGCCTCCTTTAAGGTGTGTGAGTGTGTAATTTTGGAAGTTTTGATAATTTCGATTTTCTGAACTTTTGAATTTTCGAAAATTTCCAAAATGAAAAATTCCAAAATGGACAATGTCGCTGATGTTTAAAGACGCATATCTATCTTCGAAATTGAGATAGGAAAATGAAAATTACACCATTTTGTAGATAATTTAAAGGGCTTTCAAACAATATAACATTACTATAGGTTATTCAGATTCGATCATTTGAAATCTCGGAATTTAGAAAAATCCAATTTATTTTGGCTTTTCGGCTTTTTCTTCTATCCCTCAATTCATTTTTTCCCGTCCATTAAATTTTTTAAACTCCGAAACACTTTTTCTATCCAATATTGAGAGTCATGCACTCTATTTTTTTCCCATTGCAAAAATATTTCAGAAATTTTAAGAATCTCTGATCTTTGAAACCTTCATTTTTTGCAAAATCTATATACATTTTCCCATTTCCCTCGAAATCACGAATAAAAAGCAAGAGAATAGAGACGGAGACACACACTTTTTAGCGAACCGCGCTCTCCATTTTTCCTCTTTTCTGCTTTTCTTTAGTTTTTCAAAAAAATATTTTTTTGATTTTTTTCAGAAATGACCGATTTGCGGGAAGAACTTGGGAAATGTCTGCAAACTTATATGATTTGTATGTTCCTGGAAATCCTATGTATGGATATTCACAAATTGTTGAAGAAGTTGTTTGAAAGACCTCCAAAGATGATAATTCCGATTTTTGAACTACCCTGGCTGGCTCGGAAACATATTATCTCAAAGTTGCCGATTGAAGAAATGTGAGTTTTTGGAGATTTTTTGAAAAAGGATTCATCTCGGTTTCTCTCAAAGATACCAAAAAAACTGTCAACTGATAAATTTTTTATCATAACGTTATCTATATTTGATCAGTTGACAAATGTTTGATATTTCTTATAGGAATGGAGATAAATTGGCTTAAAGTTAAGTGGTCAGCGTCGCTTTTCCGGCAAGCCGACTTTTAAACTTTGAGCGCATATAGCTCGTTTTCTATGATAGATATCAGAAAATGATCAACTGACAAAGTGTTTATCATATTATCAAAAATATTGTATCAATTGACAAATTTTTGATATTTTTCATAGGAACAGAGATAATTGAGCGCAAAGTGGAAGGTACAAATACAAAGCTCAAACGCGTTTATCTCAAAAACAAAATTTGATAGATAAGTATGTTTACTATGAAATTATGTAAAATTCAATGTTGATCATTTTTGTTGTTGACAACTTTTTTCCAGCTAGCCTAGTTTTTGAGATATGCGCCTTTAAAGTGAGACCCTCTTGGCGGGCAGCTGACGGTGTCGACCGCGCGTTTGAATTTCGAGTTTAATTATCTCGGTTCCTATAAAAAACATTAAAAAACTGTCAACTAATAAAATATTTCTGCTATTATGATAAACATTTTATCAGTCAACAGATTTTTGATATCTTTATTGGGAACCGAGATAATTGAGCTCAAAGTTCCAGGTTCTTTAAAACGAGAGCACTTTCTCTGCGATTCTCCCTAACTTTAAAGGCGCATAACTCTCTTCAAAAGAAAGCTAGAACTATGAAAATTTATCAGAATTAAAGGAAATTTTAAGGGATTTCAGAAGATATTTAGTACTTTTTCAGAATTCACTTCTCGTTCATTTCTGAAGACTGCAAGGAGTTGGTTCGCGATCTAAACCTCAAACCAGACAAAATTCGTATAAAAATCGGCTCTTCTGATGCGACGTCTTCTATTGAGTACTACGAGGAAAAGCTTCTGATGCTTAGATTTGGAACTCGATACAAGAGATTTCAATTTCAAAAATCCTTAGTTCCCTCCTCGATTCTTTTTGATACGGATGAGCAATTGGCTGAAAGAATCGATCGATCGGATATGAGTTTAAGAGATTGGATCATTCATTTCATGGATATTCTGAAGTGTGAAAATCTGGAAGTGACATTTTCCCAATTATCACCATTAATCAATTTTGAGTATATCAAGAAGACATTTAAAGGGTTGGCTGTGGATACTCTGAAAATTGATAATTGCTCTTATGAATATTACAAATTGGCGGTTCAGGAGTTTCAGGTAAGCTCTTTTTTCCAGTTTTTAAGACTGCGAATAAGTTCTTTTGACTATTTTCAAGTGTCTGGAGTACTTTGAAAACTTTGGACCTAAAAAAACAAATATTTGGTAAAACAGAACTAGATTGAGAACTTTGCATTTGCAGAATTTTTTGAAAATACCTTTTTTTGCCCAGATTTGTACCGAAAACATGAAAAAAACAGGGTTCCTTTAGAAATAGGTAATTTAAAGTCCTTAAAATTATCTACAGAATGGTATAACTTTCATTCTTTTATCTCAATTTTAAAGCTAGGTATGGACGATACACCGTGTCGGGATGTTTAAAGGCACATATCTAGCTTCAAAATTGAGATAGAAAATAAACAGTTATACCATTTTGTAGATAATTTCAAGGGCTTCAAAATGATATAACATTATTGTTTGGTTATTTGAAAATCATGGAATTTAAAAAAACCAGTAAAAAAGAGGGCAAAAAAGGTGTCTTTCAGAAATCGGCTAATAGATCAAAAACTAGGAATTCTCAAAAAATTCTGTGAACACAAAATGTTTTATCTAAGTCTGTTCCACATTTTTCAAAATTTTCAAAGTGATTGGAAACTTGACAGCCAAGTTACAGACTCAGAGGGGTACTGTAGATAATCCTCGCCGCAGACGACACACACCAAACTTTAAAGGCGCATATCTCGAGAAAGAAAAAAGCAATCAAATTTGTGTCAACTACAAAACTGCTCAGCATAAAGTTTCACATACTTTTGTAATTGACAACTTTTTGCTAGCTACAGTAGTTTTTGAGATTTGCGCGCTTTTTTGACAGGTACTGTATATCTGAAATTTTCAGACCATCAAAAATCTGCACATCTTCCGAACGCGTGTCAATCGAATCATTGAAGCACCAATCCAGAATCTTCTCTCCAAAAAACTTGAATATCTATGTTTAACAGATTCCACTAAAGTTTCCGCATTCCAAATTGCCACCAGCAAAGTATTGAATCTTCATTATAAAATGTTTGTGAAGCCGGAAGAAATGAAGGGATTCTTCTGGAAATATTGGAGGAATGGAAGCAATCCAGATCTAGAATCCTTATGTTTTAATTGCTTCATAATTGGCCAACGGTCTCCTATAATTTTTATGGAGAAGCTTCTAGAAGGGATTGAGTTCTCGAGGGCTTCAGAAGGTTTGGAGAGGAAATTCGAGAGAAGAAAAATTGAGGGATATCTGGAGAAGGCGTTCAGGGGAGGATTCGATATGAAGAGAAAGGATGGAAAACGGGCGACACTTTTCTACGAGAGAATATTTGAAATGTTCAAGATCTGTTTTGTGATTTGGCCTTGATTTTGGATCTCTTGATCGCTTATAATAAAATACTATACATGTATTTGCCTATAATTCCTTACAAAGAAAATATACCGGTCTGAAATTTGGATAGATACATTTAAAACTGAATTTAGCATACTTGTGAAATTCCGGGCCGTCCCGCCAAAGCCCGGGCACGGGCCGGGCCTGAGGAAAATTTCAAGGCCCGGGCCCGGCCCGGAAAGCCCGGTAGCAAAAATTTTGTCATTTTGAACCGAATTTTGAGAAATCACATAAGGGTCCTTATGTGTTTTTTTGGAATTTTTAAAACTTGTGGAATGACAGGCCCCTTACAAGTATGAAATTAAGAACATTTTCAGGACAAAAATCGAGAAAATTTTTTCCGTGATTTTTGAAAGAAGCCTTATTGTTTTTCAGCCTTATCGTTTCCCTTATGTTAGCGTTTTTTCGAAAATCCAAAAAAAGTTTTTTGAGATCTTAATACCATAATGTTCTATACTCAATTTTAAGCATTCCAACAAAATTTCAGGCCCAAATCTCTAGGTTGTACAAAGTTACGGCCTAAATAAGAAATTATATCACAGCTAAAAGTTGGTTCTAGAAAATTGCTGATAACTTCTGACAGAGAAGAGATCTAGGTCTGAAATTTAAACAGTTAGACTTTGAATTAATTTTAGAACATTTTCATAACAAAAAGTCCAGAAACAATTTTTTCGTGATTTGTTTTGAAAAAAAAAACCCTTTTCCGTCTAATGTCAAGCAATCTACCAAAATTTCAGGCCCAAATCTCTCATTTGTACAAAGTTATGGTCTGAAAAAGAGACGGCTGATAACTTTTCCCTAGAACGAGATATTCAGACAGTTTTGATACCAACTGATAGACCTCGACAAGGCCCATCACGCCTATATCATTTGAGCCGGATCCTGGTCCAATAACATATCGAAAAATGTGTTTGAATGACAATTTTCGATCATATTGCCGAAAACACATTTTTCGATATGTTGTTTTACTTGAATCCGGCTGATATAATATAGACGTGATGGGCCCTGTCGAGATCTATCAGTTGACACCAAAACCGTCTGAATATCTTGTATTTGAGAGTTATCAGCCGGCCCGCCACCTGCAAAAATAAAATCGAAAAAATTCGAAACATTTATTTCAAGAATAAAGAAAAAAGAAACGAATAATGATAAGTTTATTTTGGATGCAATAGAATAAGAAATCCCAAAAAAAAAGATATAATTTGACAAATTGAAACATCTATAAGTCAGGAAACAATAAAAAGCTCTGGGCTATTTCAAAGGGGTCTAGCCAAGAGAAAAAAGTTAGGGGTAACAAAATAAAAAGGAGATCTCAGAAAGGGCTAACAAAAAAAAATCAATGACCAATAATGAGTTTGAAATAGAACGAATTTTTGAAAGAATCCAAAATGACAGTAGCCTTTTTTCCATCCGTAACTCTCCGAATTCCAAATCTAGCGTGCATTTCATTGGAAAGTTCCCAAAATTCATTATCATCAAAATGCGGTACATCATACGGTTGTTTTTGAAGGGACTCTCTCTGGAACTCGATTCCATCTATTATCACTTCTTCATAATTATCAGGAAGATGACTTTTATTGAACCGAAGATACAAAGCCTCCAGATGGTCTCTCCAAGCTGATCCTTCACCATTAATCCAGTCCTTCAAAACCAGATTGAACATCCACGGGTTACAAAAGAGACAATCGATTTCGATATATTTGCTAATGACGGACCGGAATAATTGCAACTGCTCCAAGGGGTACTCCATAACTTTGACAATCTCGAATTGTTTTCCTTTGAATCCAGAGTTAAATTCAGAAAATGGGAAATCTCTTCTGTTGACAGCCAAGATCATCCTTTTCGGTGACGTGTAGAAGTCCAGAGCTTTTGAAAATGAATCACTTGTTACAGTATTAAGAATCGTCATGTTGGAGATTTGGAATCCAGACATGGCGTCCTGAAATTTTGGAACTTTAGAATTCCACCCAATACTTGTACGTTGAGCTCTTTTATCTCGGTTCCTGTGACGGATATCAAAAAGTGACCAACTAATGTAATATTTTTGAGATTATAATGAACATTTTGATAGTTTACAACTTTTTGGTATCTTTCACAGGAACTGAGATAATTGATGCCAATCTGCAAACATAAGAGATCGCGTCAAAATAGAACTAACCTTTAATTCAATCATATCTAAACTTTCCAACTCCTCCCTAAACATCAAATTCGGCGTATTGCAACCATAAATCGTACGCAAATGCTCCAAAAATGCCTTCAAACTCATTTTGAAATTCAGCTCGAATTTATATTTTCTATCGTCTGGGCTTGAAAACTTGACTTCTTGTTTCTCTGGGCAATATTCAATGTTTGCTCGTAGAAATCTGTCAGTTTTTTTGTAAATCTCGATTTCCAAATGTTTCGATACAAAAAAATTGAATTTGAATTTTTGTCCCAGAGATTGAATGAGATCTTTGCATTTCTTCGAGCAGAGGGAGTATGAGATTCTGAAATTAGGTGCTGTAAAGCCTGTAAAGTTTGCGCTTAATTATCTCGGCTCCTATCAGAGATATGGAAAAGTTGTCAACAAAAAAAATGTTATTGATATTATGATAAACATTTTATTAGTTGACTACTTTTTGGTATCTCTTATAGAAGCTAAGATAATTAAGCTCAAAGATAAGAGGTCGATAGAGCTCCATGGCGGCTGTCTCTTTAAAGGAGGCGAGACAGCCAAAATTTCGGGGGACAGTTCGGGGACGAAATCGCGCCGCGCTTATGTAGACCATCGGTCGTCAGGCGCCTTCGCGCCCCCGTAGCTCAGCCGGTAGCGGCGCTGTACCCCTGAGCTGCATGTCATGAGTTCAACCCCTCATGGGGGTTCTCTATGCAAAATATCAGGAAAACTTTTTTTTTGGTGTCTGGCCTCCTTTAAAGAAGAGTTAGAACTATGAAAATTTTATAGAATCGTTGGAAATTTTCAGCACTTTCAGGTGATATAAAATATTCTATTTTTCAAAATTCAGGTTTTTCGGAATACTGAAAAAAGCTTACTGTTGATTTAGGGTCCAGTTTTTGAGCATTGTTCGTTGCTCCAACATGTATAAATCCATTAATCGGAAATCTGGCTTCATTTTTTTGTCTTCAGAAGGCGTCAATTCAGAAACTTCGGCACTTAAAGAAGAAGGCGGGTTTGAATTTTCCATTTTTCTGAAAACTAGAATTTAAAAAATCTGCAAGTCCCAGGCTAGAATGGATAAAAAAAGAATTCATACAATAAAAAATATCAATAGTGTTCTTCGACACCCCAAGAAAAAAACCAATAGGGGAAAATCAATAGAAGAGAGAAAATAGACATAGAGAAACAGAGAGGGGGGCGTTGTCAAGTGTCTGCGTCTCCAATCTCTCTGTCTAGAGGGCTATTGGAAATTTGGATCATATTATTAAATTAATAAAATCAATTTCAAGTTTTAAGTACCTGTAGAAAATTAAAAAATAAGGAAAAAATCTGGGTTGAGTATCTCAATTCATTGCCACAACCGAATTTTTTGGGGAAATTCTGATACGAGCACTTTGAGCTCTATTATCTCGGTTTCTGTAATAGATATCAACAAATTAACAACTGATAAAATGCTTATCATGTTATCAGCAACATTTTATCAGTTGACAAAAATTTGATCACATTCGAAGAAACCGAAATATTTGGGCTCAAAGTTTAAAAGACGGCAGGCAAGCCGACAAGCGCCGACTTGCCAACTTTGAGCTCAATTATCTCGGTTCCTGTGAGAGATATCAAAAATTTATCAACTAAAAAATTGTTAATCACAATATCAGCAAAAATTTTATCTGTTGAAAATGTTTTGATATCTCTTATAGGAACCGAGATAATCGAGCTCAAAATTATACGGTACATAAAAGGATACATAGAGATATGAAAAACAGACATGGAATTTTTGAAAGAGCGTTGTTATGGATTTTTTGAGACCAGGCTTATTGCTAAAACCAGATTTAGGGGGCCTTAAAAAATGTTAATTAATTGAAATGATAATTAAGGAATGTTAATTAATTAGGACTCCTAATTCAGGAGGTGATTTCAGAAGTTTCAATTGTGATTTTGGACATTTTAAAATCTAGATTTCCAATTTCCAGCTCTTTTTCCAATTGTTCAATCTGTTTGAGAAGACTTTTGTTGGCTTCGAGAAGTCTGAAAAATTGATTTTTAATGGTACTATAGGCTTTTAATGGTTTCATGGGGTTTTCATGGTACCATAGGTTTTAATTGTCCTATGGGATTTTAGTGGTACCATAGTTTCCATGATCCCATGGGAAAAAAATGTTAAATTCAATGGTCTCATATGATTTTAATGGTACCATAGGTTTTCAATAGTTCCATGGAGTTTAAATGGTACCATAGGCTTTTAAGGTCCCATGGGATTGCAATGGTCCCATGAGACTTCAATGGTACCACGAATTTTTAATGATACCATATGCTTTCAATGGTCCCATGGAATTTGGATGGTACCATAGTGTTTTAATGGTTCAACATGATGTTAAGGGTATCATAGGATTCTAATGATATTATGGTATTACAATGGTACCAAAGGTTTTTAATGCTCACATCGGCTTTTGAGGTCCTATGGGATTTATATGACACCATAGGTTCTTAACGGTTGCATGGGATGCTAATGGTACTATAGGCTTTTAATGGCAAACTGCGATTCCAATGGTACCATAGGCTTTTCATGGTACCATGGGATTTTAATGGTACCAGATCTTTCCAATAGTACCATACGCTTTTAATGGCACCTTTGGCTTTTAATGGTATCATAGGTTTTTAATGGTACCATAAGCTTTAAATAGTACCATACGCTTTTAATGGCACCTTTGGATTTTAATGGTATCATAGGTTTTTAATGGTACCATAAGCTTTAAATAGTACCATACGCTTTTAATGGCACCTTTGGCTTTTAATGGTATCATAGGTTTTTAATGGTACCATCGGCTTTTAATAGTACCATAGGATTGTAAAGGTCACATGGGATTTCCATGATAACATAGTTTTTATGGTTCCATGGGGTTTCAATGGTGTCATGTGATTTTGATAGTCCCAAGGGATTTTAATGGTATCGTGGGATTTTAATGGTCTCATGGGAATTCAATGATCCCATAGAATTTTAGTGGTACCATAGGACTTTAATGGGTTCCAATGATACATATGGTACCACTAAAATCCCATAGGACAACTATAAGCCTATGGTACCATTGAAATCCATTGAAAAAGAAACTAACGTCTCCAATTCCATTTCAGCTTCCCGGATTTCTTCTTGCAGATCTTCCAAATCTTCATCGGCCGTTTCTATATTGATTTTCACTCTGGAATAAATAACAATTTTTGTGTTTTTGATAATTTAAAAAGTTTTAAGCCTTACATTTCTTTAGAATCAGTGAAATATTCCTCCCCGAACTCCTCGAGCTCCAGCAGTTCTCTGAAAGTTAGATAAATCAGAAAAATTCAAATTTGAAAACTCAAAAGCTAGGAATTTGCCGAAAAATTAGGATAATTTTTTAAAAAATAAATTGGAAATGACCTAGAATAATTCTAAAAAAGATTTCTTGATTACTGTAACTTCTGAAACTCACTCTTTCAACTCTTTAATCTGATCATCATGGCTTATAATGCCTTCTTTAGTTCCAAAAACCATTCTTCCTTGTGGCTCCACAAGTTCCAGCTGCTCTCTAGCCTCTTGCTCAGCTTTAATCATTTGTACTTCGAGTTCTCGGTTTGCTGCACAATTGGGACAATCGGGATATCCAGGAGGAGGGATTTCCAAAACAATTTCAGTTGTTTGTTCCGATTTTTTCGGCTGAAAGTTTTGTAGATTGTGTGTCTTTTTTTAGCTTATATTGTTAAGCATAGGGTTGGCTTGGGGGTGAAATGGGGCGATCCCCGCTCCGCTTTCAGGGCTCCCGCGTAAAAGCGGGAGCCACGCTGCCAACCCTAGTCAAGCAAACTGTTTTTAATCAGAAAAGACAATCCCAATCAACCTAGACCATTTTTTAAACTTGTAATGGTCCCATGGAATATTAATCGTCTTATGGGGTTTTAGTGGTACCATAGGAGTTTAATAGTCCAATGAATTTTCTCTGGTACCATAGACTTTTGATGGTCCCATGGGATTGCAACGGCCTCATGAGACTTCAATGGTACCATAGGTTTTTAATGGTCTCATTAGACTTTAATGGTACCATAGACTTCAATGCTTTTAAAGGTTTTCAATGGACCCATGGAATATTAATCGTCTCATGGGGTTTTAGTGGTACCATACGATTTTTATAGTCCCTGAAATTTCTGTGGTTTCATAGGCTTTCAATGGTTCCATGAGATTTAAATGGTACCATATAATTCCATCGGTACCATAGATTTTTAATGGTCCCCTAGAATTTCAGTGGTACCATAGGCTTTTTATTGTCCCCTGAGATTTAAATGGTACCGTAGACTTTTAATGGCCCCATTTGACTTCAATGGTACTATGGGACTCTGATGGTCTCATGGGAATTTGATGGTACTACAGGTTTTTAATGGTCCCATAGTATTTTAGTGATACCATAGGCTTCCAATTGTCCCATGTGATTTAAATTAGACAGTTTATGATAACATAAACTTTTAATTGCCCCTTTAACAGGCTTTTTTTTGGTCTCATTGCAATTTATCGACCCCATTGGATTTCAATGGTACCATAGGCTTCAATTATTTTTTTGGAATTCACTATAACGCTAAAAAGTATCAGTTTTTAACTCCTGAACTTGTAGGGACTAGAATCCTGGAATCTCAAAAAAATAGACCGTAATTTCAAAAAAAAATCACTCACTTCCGGTACCGCCACTTTCTTCTCTGGCAATGGTTCTTTGGCAGAATTGATCTAAAAATGGAAATTCATGATTCTAGAAGTTTCCCAATTAAAAAAATGATTCAAAAAACCTACCAAATACTCCTTAATAAGTGGTCTCGAATCAACAGGAACCATAGTTAACATTGCGCCAATCACAAAATTTCTAAATTCATCCATTTGACTTCCCAACTCCAAACTATCCAAAAATCCCATCACCACCAAAGTCCTCATTACAAATACTGGAACTTGATCGTCTTCTCGAAATACTTGAAACATTTTCAGCCCGTATTCTTCAGCCATTTTGATATAGACATCAGAATCCACATTTTCTTCTGGAGATTTCGATATCATGAAAAAGTCCGGACGTTTTATGGTAGACTTGTAGATGGAGAGGTGCTCAAACTTTTTCACTTTTATTTGATGGACAATGTGATCGTAGATACTGTAGAGTCCCTGCAAAAAACATTACTTTTTGGGGCTAATTTGGGCTAATCAAGCTTTTGTTTAATTGGACGGAGTTTCTAACTTCTTAATTACCGTTAAAAATTTGCTAAAACTTGCTACTGATAATATGATAAACATTTTGTTAGTTGACGTCTATTTGATAGCTTCCACAGGAACCGAGATATTTAGGTCTAAAGTTGACATTTCCCCTTTTTTGATCCATAATTATGGGCCATAAATTATTAAATTACCTACCTCCTGACACTGCCAACTACAATCCCAAATTCGAGATATAATATTCAATTTCCTCTTTTCGGACACTTTTTCCCATTTAATTCCAACAATTAGTGATTTAACAGCATATAAAATGCATTGAGGAATATCCACTGATAAACAATTATCATAACTCAGGATTTTCAAAATTCTATCGGATTGAAGTGTCATCTTGCTGGCAGTTATTTGCCCTGGATCATCAATTACCTAAAATTGGCATTAATTAGAAGTAATTAAAGATAATTAGTCTTACTGTAATTAGACTTTTGTCCACTTCGAATTCATCCAAAACTTTGTTTAGTTCTGCCAGTGTGATCGTTTGGTAGTAGCCATTTTCCGAGTTCCATTTGTTACCAAGTCTTATCAGTTTGGCTGAAAGTTTGGGAATTTAAGAAAATATGAGTTTCTGAAATCGACTTTTAAAGATTTTCAATTTTTTAGAATTTTTGAAGATTCTCTGGATTTTCGAAATCTGTGGTTCGAATTTGTTCAAACGTTGAGCGCGATTATCTAGGTTATTATGAGAGATATCAAAATTTTGCCAACAGATGAAATATTGGTGATATCATAAGAATTGTTTTATCAGTCAGCCATTTTTTAATATGTTTCACAGGAACCAAGATAAATTGGGTCAAAATTGTGAGGTCGGCAGCCACAGAGTAGCTCTGCCGACTTCCTAACTTTGAGCCAATTTATCTTGGTTCCTGTAAAAGATATCAAAAATTTGTAAACTGATAAAATGTTGCTGATATTATGATACATATTTTATTAGTTGACAATTTGTTGATATCTTTTGAAGGAGCCAAGATAATTGAGCTCAAAGTGCAAGTTTCCTTCTTTCTTCTCAAAATCAATAAAACTTTAAACATTTTCAAAAAAAAAAGACTCACTATCATCTTTGGCACATTTATTATTTTGTAGAAGTCTCGCCAATTGAATCACATCAAAAACTTCCTCAGCAAAAACCCGGGTGGCCTTACTTTCCGTTCCAAAATCATCCACGTCCTCAGTTGTGCTCATTCTCAATGAACAAATCGCTCGAAGATAGATCATTTTCCGTTTTCCAAACACTTTAAGCAGATATTCACCAAAGTACATTAGTACTTTTAGAATGTCCTTTTTCCCGTATGCGTACAGCTTGCTGGCATGCTCATAGTCATCGTGGTCCATCAGAAAATATTTGCTACTGTCTCGTTTTTTCTCGGGAAGAAATGATATGTTGGGAACGACGAATCCACCACCGGCCAGTTTTGATTTGTAGATTGCCTGGAAAATAGTGAAGTGTATAAAATTAAATTTTGCACATTTTACTAGTTGACAACTTTTTTGAAACTTTTACGGTTTTGGAGAAATGCGCCTTTGAAAATAGGGTATCTCACAGCGCACTCTCCTCTCCTTTGGGCGCCTAGCTTCATTGACCTTGATTATTTCAAGTTTTAAGAAATATATCAAAAAGTAGTCAACTAGTGAAATGTATAAAATTCAATTTTGCACATTTTACTGATTGACAACTTTTTTGTAAATTTTACGATTCTTGAGCAATGCGCCCTTTAAAGATTACCGTGCCAATGGAGTGGGCGGCAATCCAATCTTTAAAGGCGCATACCTCAAAATTCAGGGAGGATAGACATAAGTTATTGGCTAAGAAAATAAAGGTGATAATATGGTAAACATTTTATTAGTTAACACATTTTTGATATCTCCTTTAGGAAGCGAGTTATAGGAGCTCAAAGTTAAGAGGTCGGCAGCCGACCGTAAGCCGGCAAATGACGACCCTCAACTTTGAGTCAATTTATCTTGGTTCCTATGAAAGACATCAAAAAGTTGTCAACTAACAAAATTTTTATCATAATACCACAAACATTTTATTAGTTAACCACTTTTCGATATCTTCTACCAAGACAATTGAGCTCAAACCTAACAATATTTTTTTTTTAATTTTAAAAATTTTTAATTTTTAAAATGTTATATTTTTGAACTTGAAAGTTTAGTGAATTTTAAATTTTCCTAGTCTTATAAAAACTGCGAATTGATTTTTTTTTTTAATTTTAGCAAAAAAACTCACCACCGGATCTTTCTTATCCGTCTCTATGACCATGTCCTCCGCTCGTATTCGTTTCCATTGTGTATCCTTGTATTTTGATATTTTCTGTGTTGATATCATGATGGTTTTCTAAAAAAAGAGATCTGAAAATAAAAAATTAGGCTTAAAAATTTAAATTATCATAGATATTAAACAGCTTCGAGAAACTGATTGGGATATAAAAATTAAAAAAAAAACGGATTTTAAAAACTATGCATTATTTTTCAATTCGAACAAAATTTGAGCTATTTTTAGAAAGATATCATCAGAAAAAAATGGCAAAAAAAAAAGAAAAACAACGGCGTTTTAAGACAAAGGGAATTTCCAGAAAAAAAGATCAACGAGAGTGAAATGTTAGAGGAAAGACAGAGCAATAATAACAAGAAAATGCACAAAAAATGCTAGCTCAATTATCTCAGTTCCTCTAGAAGATATCAAAAAATTGTCAACGGATAAAACATTTATCATAATATCAGCATTTTTTTAACAGTTGACACATTTTTGATATTTGTTATAGGAACCGAGATAATTGAGCTGAAAGTTGAGAAGTCGGCGCTTGGAGGCTGAACTATGCGGTCGGCTGCCGATATCTTAACTTTGACTCAATTTATCTCAGTTCCTGTAAAAGATATAAAAAAGTGGTCAACTGATAAATTGTTTATCATATTATGAACAATATTTTATCAGTTGACAAATTTTTGATATCTCTTATAGAAACCTAGATAATTGAGCTCAAAGTAAACATTTGGTAAGTAGAAAAAAACCGTCACATAAAAAATAACAACCAGTTACAAAAAAAAACATTTGGCTTAAAACAAAAATGGACCTAGAAAAACGAATGATTCAAACAATTTTCTCTTTATTTTCTAATCCATTGTCTTTGATTTTTATTGCTTGAAGTTCCACAATAGTTTCCAGTTGCTGCTGCTTTTTTTTGAGTCTGAAAAAAATCTTAAATTTTTGTCACTATTAAGTTTAAGCTCAATTATCTCGGCTCATAGGCAAGATATCAAAAATGTGTCGATTAATAAAATGTTAATGACATTATAACGAACATTTTATTAGTTAACAAATTTTTCCTATCTTTTACAGGAACCGAGATAATTGAGCTCAAAGTTAAAAAGGAGATGGTTGCCGGCAAAGCTGCGCTCCGGCTGCTGACTGCCTAATTTTGAGCTCTATTATCTCGGCTCCTATAAGAGATATCAAAAGTTGGTCAAAAACAAAATGTTTGTGATATCATGATAAACATTTTAGCAGTTGACAACTTCTCTTATCTTTTACAGAAACCGAGATAAATTTGCTTAAAGTTGGTGATCCAAACTCACTCTTCAATTTTTTCCTGCTTCTCCTGAATTTCTATTGGAGCTCCGCAACTTCCATTTGGCTCATTTTCTTTGTGTTTTTGAGCTTGAACCAATTCTGCCAACCTCTGTTTCAGCTCCTCGTTGAGTTTTGTGACTCTGAAATTTCGATTTTTGTCCAAAAGCCTCATGAAATAAATTACTCTTCAATTCGATTTCTGCAAACTCGTCGCTTCTCGGTGAGCTCGGTCATTCGCTGCTCGGAAACTTCCATTTGTTGAGAAAGTCTAGAAAATCTACCGTAATATATTTTCAAATAAAAAAAAAAGACTTACTCATGATTCCGCTCCTTGAGATCATACAATTTTTTATCCGCTTGTGGAAGTGCTTGTTTCCGAATTTCGATTTTTCTGGAAATATTTTTACTATTATTTTGGGTGAAACTAACATTTTCAAATTCAGCGTTTCAAGAGCTTCAAAATGAGTATAATCATGACCTAATTTCCTTGAATTTGATTTTTGGACATTTTTGGACCACCTATGCGCCTTTAAGAGGGTCCAGTTTCAAACTTAAAGGAACATAGTCGTGTTTATACTCATTTTAAAGCATGTAACACACAAAATTCAATTCTGGAAAGAACAACTATTTCTGGCAGAAACTGAACTCACTGTTTCAACTCATCAATTTGTTTCTGCTTCATTTGTGCCTCCGTCTTCATTTGTGGTGCTTTCTGGACAAGAGTATCCACATCTCGAACTCTCCGAATCGAATTCTCAATGTCACCTTGCAGCATCATAACTTTGTCGAGCATAAATTTGCAATTATCGCATGCATCGTTATAAGCTTCTGGCGTCACTGGATTCTCCACATTTCTTACTGTATTTTGGTCTATTGTTGGCCGTACATAAGGCGCCATTCCTGGTAACGGCCCTTTTAGAGATTCAGGCGACTCTGGTTGTCCATTCCATGTTCGTCTAACTTCCATCGCTTCCAACATGATTTTGTTCTGTGAATATTTAGGTTTCATCGGGAAAATGGTACCCAGAAAAAATATGGTACCCAATATAAAATATGGTGCCCAGAAAAATGGTGTTCAAAAAAAGTGGGAAGCCACAAAAAAAAATGGTACCTAGAAAATGTTTTAAAATATGTTTCTGGCTACCTTTTTTTTGCTCTGTATCATTTTTTCTGGGTCCCTTTTTTCTGGGTACCATATTTTTATGAGTACCATATTTTTTTCTAAATTTCAGAAAAAATCAACTAACAATCAATTCAATTCCTCGCTTCCTTCCCTCTGGTTGAATAAAAAACAATGCGACTCCAACAACAGCTCTCGCCAGCTTATCATCCTTCTCCTTATCAAAAAACTGAATAACCCATCCCAATTGAATCAAGAATCTGGCCGCATAGACTTGCATTTGGCTGGAAATCGTTCGATAGTGAGCATCCATATAGAGAATGTTGTAATGTTCAACAACGTCTGCATAGTAGTCCAATGGCATCAGCAGATCTGATTTGAGATGTTGGAAGAGGTAATCTGGGGTCATTCGAGGTTGAAGGTATTTGACTGGGCACTGTTCTTTGATTCTTTGAACAGATTCCATTACGTATGAGAAGTGGTAGAAGGTTCCCTGGAAAATTGTTTTTTTCTTGATTTATAAGTTTTTGTTTTGTGAAAAGCTAACTCAAACTTGAAGTGCTTCCTCTAATAAATGCCCACCAAAACTTTTAACTTTGAGCTTAATTATCTCGATTTCTGTGACAGCGATCAAAAATTAGTCAACTGATAAATTGTTTACCATATTATCAGCAATATGTTATCAGTTGACAACTTTTTCATAGCTTTTACGGAAACCGAGATAAAAAGGCTCAAAGTTAACGATTTGTGAGTTAATCTACCAGAGAACATGGTGCATTAACCAATATTTAAAAGCTCATAACTATTTTTAGAAATGAGCTAAAAGAATGAAACCTATATCAAAATGTAGGGAATGTTATGGGCTTTTAGATAATATAAACATCAAAACGCAAAAATCTTGAAATTCTGGGTAACTTTTGAATTTCCCTAACCATACCCGATATTTGGTCTCGAACTTCTGTAGTACATTACACCCTTACTTCCAACTTTGAACTCATTTATCTCATTTTCTGTGAAAAATATCAAACATTTGTCAACTGATAAAACGTTGGTGAAATTATGATAAATATTTTGTCCGTTGATTACTTTTTCATATCTCCGACAGGAATCGAGATATATGATCTTAAAGTTGACGACTTGGGTTTGGCGCTCAGAAAATGTTTCCTCCCAACTTTTTTGTTTTTCAATATTTTTGAATAAAACATTAATTTTCGTAATTATCTTGTTCTTCGCTTTGAAATAAACCCTCACACGCCTAAGCTCCGCCCACTTTGAATTTTGAGGTTAGAGCTCTAGAGAAGTGAGACACACTGCGTCGTTAGCCTCCAAATTCAAAGTGGGCGGAGCCTATGCGTGTGGGAGCTCATTTTGAAGCGGAAGAAGCAAGTACTAAGACAAGCTTGATTTCAATTAAGAATATTGAAAAATGAGAAAGTTATGGAAAAATGAGATTCTTTGAAACTTGAAATTTTGAAAAGTTATATACCCATAATAAATACCCATAATTTCAAACCCCAAAATCTTACATCCTTGTTTTTAACGATTTCATAGAGTAGCTTCAAAATGTTTGTCTGCAGCTTAGCATTACAATTCACATGCTCCTTGCACATCTCGTTCCTCCAATTGACTCCGTTTACCAAATTATGAAATACGAAGAAAAGGGATTGAAACTGATTCATGACGAGAGCGAGATTCGGAGCACATGTTCTCACAAATCCCACTTCTTGGAGCATTTCTTCTTGAGTTATCATTGATAACGGGTCTTCGATAACCTGGAAAAAAATCGGTTAGTTCTAACTTTGAGTCAATTTTTTTATTCGGTTTCTTTCCGAGATATCAAAAAGTTGTCAACTGATTAAATGTTTATCATAATATTGCGATTAATTTATCAATTAACAAAATTTTGATATCTCTCATAGGAGGCCAGATAATTCAGATAAAAGTGAATGCACAGAGTAGGCTCCTAATAAATAATTGGTGCATCGACCAAAATTTAAAGGCGCATAACTATTGGTACAAATTTGACAGAGAAATGAAACTTATTTTGAAATGTAGGAAATTTTATGGGCTCTAAAATGATGTAAAACTCATAACTTGATCTATTTGAAATTCTGCCTGAATTTGATTTTTCCCGGTTCTTGGTCAAGGTTGAAATTTTCAAACAAACTTTGAACTTTAAGTCAATTTATCTCGGTTCCTGTGACAGGTATGAAAATTTTGATAACTGATAATTTGTTTAGCATAATATCACAACTATTATATTAGTTAAAAAATTTTACACATTTTGCGGAGGAATCGAGATAATTGAGCTCAAAGTGCATGTATAGGGTGGGCTTCAATTTGATGATTGGTGCATCGTCCAAACTTCAAAGGCGCATAACTATTTTCAAGAGTTAGCTAGAAAAATGAAACTTATATCAAAATGTAGGGAATCTTATGAGCTTTAAGATAATATAAAATTCAAATTTCAAACAGTTTGGAATTCTGGGTAAAATTTGAATTTCCCTAACCATACACGATGTTTGGTCTCGAAGTACAGGCCCTCATACTTTTAACTTTGCATTAATTTACCATATTCGTTAGTTGGTCGAAACTGAAATTTTTACTTCTAACTTTGAGCCAGTTTTTCTCGGCTTCTATAAAAAATATTAAAAATTTGACAACTGATAAATCGTTTATCATATTATCAGAAACATTTTATTAGTTGAAAAATTTTACATGTCTTGTTTAGGAATTGATATAATTGAGCTCAAAGTTGAAAAGTGCCTACCGATCTCTTAACTTTGAGCGTACATATCTCGGTTACTGTAAGAAATAATAAAAAGTAGTCAACTGATAAATTGTTTATCATATATATCAATATATTTTATAGCAATCGAGATAAATAAGCTCAAACTTGACGGTGTTGGGACCTTCTAAAAAAATGAAAAAAAAGACCCACCGTAACCAATGAAGCATCGCAATCCAAAATTTTCAAAATCCTCTTAAATTCATGAAGAGTAATTGTGTGCTCCAAATGTCGCTTCTCAGTTTCCCAACTTCTACATAATGCATTGAATTGTCTTTCTGAAAATTTTTCAAGATTTTAAAAATTCTGAGTTCCTTGAAAAACTCACTATCAGAAAATAATCTTTTGGAATTTTTGGGCGCTTGTTTCTCCCAAATCAATGGAACAATTTCGACGACGTCTTGAACAAACACTCGATGATCTTCTTCTTGATAAAGTTGACACGGAGGCACACAGCGAAGGTACAAGTTGCGATTGTGGTGTTTCTGAAAAAAATACTCATTTTTTGAAAAATTACGATTTTCAACTTCAACTTTCAACTTTGAGCTGATTTATCTCGGTTCCTTTGAAAGATATCAAAATGTTGTCAAATAATATATTTTAAATATTGTGATAAACATTTTGTCAGTTAATTTCTTTTTGATATATGCTAAGGAAACCGAGATACATGAGCTCAAAGTTGAGAAGTCGCGGCTTGCCGGCAGAGCTACGCTGCGGCTGTCGACATCCCAACGTTTACCTAATTTTTATTGGTTTTCATTAAAGATATAAAAAAGTGGTCAATTGATAAAATATTGATGATATTGTGATAAATATTTCATTAGTTGACAAATTTTTGATATATCTTACAGGAAATGAGATATATGGGCTCAAAGTTAAAGCCTCCTTTGAGTCGAGATCTGATAAGGATTATTGTAAATTTCAAGATTTTTGATTCTTTTGAATAGATTTGAAATTCTCCCAATTTTTCTATGGTTTTTCAGTTCCTCTCAAATTTTATCTCAATTTTCAAAAAAAAAAAAATACTCACCCCACACAACTTTATCTCACTGAAAATTTTCGAGATATCCTTTGTTTCCATTGTTCCTGCCATCAGCTTATCATACTCTCCGAAATCAACGTTATCAACTAAAAAGAATTGGCAAGGCGATTTTTTGATTTCCGTAGAGTCCATTAAATATAGATTTGTACGAATTTTTGCGCCGTTCGATTTGATAGTCAATTCCCAGCCCGTCTGAAAAATCGTTTTTTTTTAAATACCGGAAACTTTGAGCCAATTTATCTTGGTTTCTCTAGAAGATATGAAAAAGTTGTCAACTGATAAACTGTTTATCATAATATGAGCAACATTTTATCAGTTGACAGTTTTTTGATATTTATTATAGAAAATGAGATAGGAAGGATCAAAATTAAAATGGTAGCAGCCTCGCTAAGCCGGCAAGCGCAGACTTGTCAACTTTGAGCCAATTTATCTCGGTTTCTGTAAAAGATATCAAAAAGTAATCGACTGATAAAATATTAGTAATTTTATGATAAAAATTTTATTTGTTGACAACTTTTTGATATCTCTTATAGAAAACGAGATATAAGAGCGCAAAGTTGCAAGGTCGGCAGGCGACCGTGTAGCTCTGCAGTCAAGAGCTGACTTTGTTCACTTTGAGCCAATATATCTCGGTTTCTGTGAAAGGTATCTAAAAGCAATCAATTGATAAAATATTGCTGATAAAATGATCAACATTGTATCAGTTGACCACTTTTTGATATCTCTCACAGAAAATGAGATGTAGGAGCTCAGCTCAGCCGGCAAGAGCACAAATTTTTTGAAATTCAAAAAATCTCACCATAGCATTATTGGAGAACTCATGCAATAGATATTCAGTGCAAGCCACTGTTTTTATCTCCGTATTGTCATACATACCCGGTTGAGATGGTGGAGCCATACCTGAAAAAAGGCGCGCCATCAAAACGCGCCATCAAAACCTGTAATAAAAGGGCCCCCTAACTTGAAGTCTATTTATCTCAGTGCCTGTGGAAGATATGAAAATTTTGGTAACTGGTAAAATATTTGCCATAATATCACTAATATTTTATCAGTTGACACATTTTTGATATCTTGTATAGGAATTAAGATAATTGAGCTCAAAGTTGATAGTTGATAGTGTGTGGGGGGGGGGGGCTCTTCTATTACAGTTTTAAATACTTTGATTCATATCCAAGTTTTTAGAAAATAATTTTCTTAGTGTAACTTTCGATTCTTCAAAAAAATTCTCAAAAAAGATCAGAAACCAGTTGCAAAAAACAAAAAACACACGAGAAGTTTTCCCGCAGAGATAAAGAGAGAGAGAGAGAGAGAGAGAGGCTGAGAAAGGGTCAAAACGAAACGAACTAGTTTCAAAAAGTCTTGTTGGCGTGGTGTTAGAAGCAGCAGAAGAAGTGAGAAAATAGTGAGAAATTCGTAGATTTAGAGAAAAAAGCAGAGAGAGCGAGAGACGCAGAGATATATATTGCAACAAAACGAAAAAGAAGAAGAAGAAGAGGTATACACGCATAGAAAGGGATAGAGATGTTGGGAGAGAGTGGGGAGGGACACAAAAAAGGGGGCGTGGTCTGAGAAGATAGAGGCATGAGACGAGGAGAGAGAGAGAGGAAGGTGTCTATGATGAGGAATAGAAGAAGAAGAGGAGGAAATATGAAATGGAATAAGAAGAAGAACAATTTGATTTGCTTAGGTTAAAAGAGAAATTATGAATCTTAGAATCTTAGAATCTTAGAATCTTAGAATCTTAGAATCTTAGAATCTTAGAATCTTAGAATCTTAGAATCTTAGAATCTTAGAATCTTAGAATCTTAGAATCTTAGAATCTTAGAATCTTAGAATCTTAGAATCTTAGAATCTTAGAATCTTAGAATCTTAGAATCTTAGAATCTTAGAATCTTAGAATCTTAGAATCTTAGAATCTTAGAATCTTAGAATCTTAGAATCTTAGAATCTTAGAATCTTAGAATCTTAGAATCTTAGAATCTTAGAATCTTAGAATCCAAATAATGTATTCTGAAAATCCGAAAAAGATTTCCAGATGAATTTGTCAGATTTTCGAATTCTCAGATTTTGGGATTTGCGAATTTTTTTGAAAACGGGTAAGAGAAAATTCTCTTTTCTCATTTCGAAATATTGAATTAAAAGGTCAAAATTACATTTTAAAAGGACATGTAAACATATAGAACTAATGGGATGGAGAAAAAAAGAGAGGGGAGAAAAAATAAGAACATTTTTGAAAACGATCCAGGAATATGAATTTCTAAAGGTTAAGATAATTGAGAAAATGAGTGAAATTTCTGAAAATCTGAAAATAATCCGACCCTAAATATATGTGCACTTTGAACTCAATTAACTCGTCTCCCATGAAAGATATCAAAACGTTTTCAACTGATAAAATATTGGTGATATTATAATAAACATGATATCAGTTTACAGATTTCTGATATCTCTCAAAAGAATCGAGATAATTGAGCTTAACGGGCACGTATGTATAAGGTAGGCTCCTAGTAGAGCAAACACTAGAAACCCCAAACAATCTGAATACCTATTTTCGAATTTAATTGAGTTTTGGATAATCCTCCAGAACTTCAGAATTGTTTAGGTGTACATTTTAATTAAAATCTTGTATTCCAAAGTCCAGATTTTCTATCCCGAGCTGAATAATCTGTTCTGATTGAAAAAGGAATACAAATTTGAAATTCCCTATAAGAATTCAATTTTAGAATTTTAAGAGGATTAAAATTCAATAGAGTTCAGAAGGCGAGGCAAAAAGTAGAGGATTTGTGAATTTCAATTTTGAATTCGAGACTTTATGTAGAATCTAGGAATAGTGAAATCTTGCAATTTCAAAATGTACAGAATTTTGAAATTTTGAAATTTCGGAAACTAAATATCTCAGTTCTTTGATCTTCAATTTCAAATCTTTAGCAAAATTTCTAGAATTCGGATTTTTGGAAAAGTATAAAACATGAATACCTTAAGCATTCAAAAACTATCCCTCTAAATATCTGATATGCGAAAAACAAGAGCACAAGATTTCCTTATGTCAGACAGCCTACAAAAATTTGAATTCGAATTGTACAATCAATTATAAAACAGTGCAAGTGCAAATGATGATGGGGGTGTACTCTCACACTTCTTCCCGCCACGAATTGGATGATTCAAAACAGAGAGTATTCAAAAAGATGGAGAGCGCATACAAATTTATCATCGTCATCTTTTTTCTGGCACCATTGTTGTGCTAATGGAGGAGGAAAAAAGATTGTGGTCAAGAAAGAGCTGGGGAGTTTAAAAAAAAACAAAAACTATGTTTTAATTCTATATTGAGTCTATTGTTCCCCATTTGTTACAAATTTGAAACTGAAAATTTTAAAAAAAATACTGTAAAAACACTTTGAGCGAGAAGATGATAGGCTTTCTGTTGTGGGTTTTTTAAAATGGTAGATCTTTTTTTATGATCGATCAAATTTGGTATATCAGTGACCTCCAAGGAAGCCAGTAGCGCCGAATGCGCCCCAGCCAGCAACCGTTAAACCTGTATTAGAAGGTCCTTCTATTACGTGGGCCTTCCTGTTAAATGGGCCCTTCTAAGAATTTCCCATTTTTTCAGTATACAAAAACCTAGTTTTTTCGCCACTTTCTGTTTCGTGGATCCACAAAACCAAGTGCTGGAGCTTCAACCCCTCCCAATCACTTCTCTCATATTTTCTCTCTAGGCTCCTTTTCAAAAAAAAAAAACATGACGAATACCACTGGCGATACAAAACGATATCCAGAGTAGGTCCATTTATTCGAAATCCTAATAAAATAAGATTTGCAGTCTGAACCCAGAATCGTTGGGTCCGTTTTCCGAGGAATGTCCGGAAGAGGTGTACAACAATTTCCTTATCACTTTTGGAGATTATTCGAATCCTGAGGAAACTCAAGATGATAGGAAGTCCGCAGGAAGTAACGATGAGACAAGTGAGAAGAGCCCAACGTCTTCAGATTCGGTCTCTGAATCCAATAAGGAAAATGAAGAACCGGAAGATAAAAAAAAGAAGGAGATGGATGAATTGGAGATTCGTAAAAAGCGACAATTTCCATTGAGAAAGGCAAGAGATCCAGCAAATCGGACACCGTTGCAAGGTACTGTTGTTGCTCTAATTGGAGCTCAATTATCTAGGTTCCTATGAGAATTACGAGAAATGTGTCAATTGATAAAATATTGCTGATAATATGATAAACATTTTATCAGTTGATAGATTTTTGATATCTTTCACAGAAATCGAGATGAATTGGCTCAAAGTAAAAAAGTCGGCCGGCAGGCGACCCCTGCAAGCGCCGGCTCCTTTATTTTAAACCAATTTATCTCGGTCCCTGTAAAAGATATCAAAAACTTTTGAACTGATAAAACATTGGTGATAATATGATAAATCATTTATCATTTACAGATTGTTGGTATCTCTCACAGGAGCCGAGATAAATTGGCTCAAAGTTAGATGAGCGGCTGAGCTAAGTGATCGCCTGCCGACCTAATAGCTTTAAGACAATTTATCTCGGTTGCTATGAAAGATTTCAAAAATGTGCTATGACTGATAAAATGTTGACGATAATATGATAAATATTTTATCAGTTGACAAATCTTTGGTATCTCTCACAGGAACCAAGAAAATTGAGCTTGCAAATTCCAGATGCCTCCGAACTATGCCTCTCTTTTGGTGGATGTGGATTTTTGGGATCCTACCAGTTTGGAGCAGCCAAAATGATCTACGATCATGGAAAAGAGTTGCTGAAGAGAGTTGATAGATATTCCGGGTGCTCATCGGGAAGTCTAGTGACCACGATGCTCATTTTCAATCCGGAGAAGTTGGATTTAACGAATTTGAAGTTTTGAAATTAAAGATTTTGATTTTTAGAATATCTGAAGCCGTTGAAGAAATCTATAAAATGGCTGATGAAGTCAATGAGACCGCTCTTGGAGCAATGTCTCCAGGATTTGTGATTGGGGATCGTCTTCGAAAAGTTGTTGAAAGATTTGTGCCTGATGATATCTCGAAAGCTAATGATTTACTTTTTGTCTCGGTTACTAGATTGAAGGTAAGGCGGGAACTTTGAAGGCGCATATCTTAAAAACTACGGTAGCTTGCAAAAAGTGGTCAATTACAAAAGTATTTAAAATTTTATGCCGAGTAATTTTGTATTTGATAAAATTTTAATTGCTTTTTATATTCTTGAGATATGCGCCTTTAAAGTTGACGCCTCTTTTTGCACTGCGCCTGACAGGAGGGGAGCCGCGCCTAATTCAATGGCGCATATCTCAAAAACTACGGTAGCTAGCGGGAAGTAGACAATTACAAAAACATGTCAAATTTTATGCTGAGCAATTTCATAGTTGACAAAGTTTTGATTGCTTTTTTCCTTCTTGAGATATGCGCCTTTAAAGTGTGGCGCGCTCCCCAGCGACTTACTTTAAAGGTGCATATGTCAAAAACTACAGTAGCTAGAAAATAATTGTTTTTTCCAGACCTGGAAAAACGAGCTGATCTCCCACTTTCACTCAAAATCCGATTTGATTGACTGCTTGATGGCCAGCTGCTACCATCCGATGTACTCATCTGGATTATCAGGAAAAGCGCCAATTTTGAGAGGAGAGGTATATAAAATTTAAGCCAATTTATCTCGGTTCCTGTCAAAGACATCAATAAATTGTCAATTGATAAATTGTTTATCATAATGTTAGAAATGTTTTATCAGTTGACAGATTTTTGATATCTTTCACAGGAATCGAGATAAATTTGCTCAAAGTTGACAGTGTGAGGGACACTCTATGCTTATGGTTTCTCATAACTTCACCCATTGGTCTACCAACCTATTTTAGGAATTTCATAAAACTCAATCCCAAATTTCCAGCCCTACATCGACGGTGGCTACTCGAACATCCTCCCAGAATTCCTTGACAAACGTACCGTATCCGTGACGGCTTTCGCTGGAGACGCCGATATTTGTCCGACTGAAAAATCGGCACTTTTCAATGATTGGATGTTTGCATTCTTCAATCAGAACATGAAAGTCACCTTCTCCAACATGAAGCGCGTCTCGAATGCGTTGTTCCCTCCGCCACGTGGCATGCTTCAACAGTACTTTGATGCCGGTGCCAAGGATGCGGAGAAGTTGTTGAAGGAGGCTGGAATGTATGAATGATTGGCATCTGGACTTTTGTGTAAGGTTTTGAATGAATGATATTCATAATTTTGTTCTAATCTAGATACCATACACCTGTATTAGAAAGGCGCGACTGTTCAACTTTGAGCTCATATATCTCAACTCTTGTACAAGATATCAAAAAATGATCAACTGATAAAACATAGCTGATATTATATTAAACAATTTATCAGTTGATAATTTTTTTATATCTTTGACAGGAACCAAAAGAAACAGTCTCAAAGTTAACGAGCATTTCTATTAAAGGTTTTACGGCTGATGATCCATATTAGTCAGCTCACGTCGCAATTTGAATGAGCTTTTTAGGTTTTCTGAGCTCAAATTTCACATAAAGCTGGTTGTGATAAAAAGCTCAATTCACTGTTTGACCAGTAATTTGTAAATTAGACATTCAGTTACAGTAATATCTGTATTAGAATGGCTACCAAACTGTCAAGTTTAAGCTCAATTACTTCGGTTCCTGTGCAAGAAATTAAAAATGTGTCAACTGATAAATTGTTCATCATAATGTAATCAACATTTTATCAATTAGCAACTAGTTTGTATTTCTATGACAGGGACCGAGATAAATTGGTATAATGTTAATTTTCTATACTTTTTCCTTTTATTTTCCATAAAATATCAAGTAAGTTCAACTACTTCTTCACTGCTGGTTTTGGTTTCTTCTGATCCTTTTTCTGACCATTCTTCGGATTCTCCTTTGACTTCTTCTTCTGTTCCTTGCTCATCTCCTTTGACTTCTTGCCATTCTTTGCTGGTGGACCCAACTCCTTTTCCTTCTCCTTTCTCTTTTTTTCCGCCGCCTCATACTCTTCTCGTTTTCTCTTACAGTACTCCTCCATTTCCGCCTTATCCTCCGCACAGAACCTCTCCATGAACGCCTCATCACATTGATCTTTCTCCGTCAAGTTGTACTTTCCGGTTGCTACCTTATTATGGAAGTACTGCAGAGCGTCGAATTCTTTGAGATAGGGAACGTTTCTGGATTTCATTGTGGCTTTTGTCATACAAAGTGCCAAATAGGTGAGCTGATCCGGTGTCTGGATAGAATTGTAGCGACATTTGCGGACTGGGAACAATACTGAAACGGAATCAGATTATAGCAACTTTTAAACTTTGAGTCAATTTATCTCGGTTCCTATGAAAGATGTAAAAAAGTTGCTAACTGATAAATTGTTTATCAGATTATCAAAAACGTTTTATCAATTGACACATTTTTGATATCTTTTATAGGAGCCGAGATAATTGAGCTCAAAGTGAGGTTCCGGAAATATACACATTAGCAGAACAAAGGGGGAGACACAGAGAAGTAAAAATTGGTCTGCTAAAGTGAATATTTTGAGAAACTGTACTTTGAGCTTAATTATCTTGGGTCCTACAAGAGATATTAAAAAATTGTTAACTGATAAAATGTTGGTAATATTATGAAAAACATTTTATCAGTTGACAGATTTTTGATATCTATTACATAAATAGGCTCAACGTTGACAAGGCGGCGCTTGCCGGTTGAGCTAAACGGGCGGCTGCCGACTTGTTAATTTTGAGCAGATATATCTTTTTTCCTGTGAAAGCTATCAAAAATGTTCAACTCATAAAATTTTTATGATACTATATATATTAATAATTTCATCAGTTGACAAGTTTTTGGTATCTTTTACAGAAACCGAGATAATCGTGCTCAAAATTAACAAGTTTTACTGAGTCAGGTCTAGCTAGAATAATCTTTCAAAAGCCAAAACTATTGTAAAATTTTATAGTTAGATCTAAATTCAACATCAAAAACAATTATTTTCTTACCTTCGATAATATTCAAGTTCTTGGTCGTTTTAACCATTTCCATTCCATTCTTCAGAGCAACCAGCGTTCCAGTTCTACCAATTCCAGCATGACAGTGAATCAGAACATTCCCCTGGAACTTTTAGGGTAGTAAAAGTACAAAAAATGTTTGAGCCCAATTATCTCAATTCTTGTGAAAGATATCAAAAACGTGTCACCTGATAAAATATTGTTGATATCATAAGGAATAATTCATCAGTTGACTGATTTTTGATATCTTTCACATGAATCCAGATAATTGCCTTCAAAGTTAAAAGTTAGGGGGCCCTTCTATGGCAGGTTTTACAGCCTTTTAATAGTTCAAAAATCAAAATTTTAAAAGCCCTAAAATTCTCAACTCACATTTTCGAATTGATTTATAAAGCTAAAAATCTCCAACGCTGGTTCTGGCTCAGTTGGCGATCCATGATCGGGCCATCCGGTGTATTGAAGTAGCTTAAGCGATTTTGGCGGTTGCTGGGGTCTGAAATTGCATTTTCGCATCAAAATCAAGTTTAGAACTTCTTACTGAAGGGTATTTTTGTACTCTATGGTGTAGAGAGTAAAGTTCTTCTTGTCCGTAAACTGCTTCAAATTCTTTTCAACGCTGATGGTTTTGATTTTATACCGTCCAAATTCCACTTCTCCTCCCTCCTCGAGAGGAAAATACGCGGGGCATTTTTTAATATCTAAAAACTCATAATATAATAGATCTGACATGTTTGAATTTATCATTTCAAAAGCTTTAAATTTCGAGAACTTTCAAAACCTAGCTCCCTTATTAACGTCACTTTACTCGAAGGCCACCGACACCGTCAACTTTGAGCCCATATCTCTCAGTCCCTATGAAAGTTATCAAAAATGTGTCAACCGACAAAATATTGTTGATATTACGATTAGCATTTTATCAGTTGACCACTTTTTCATACCTTCTATGCGAATTGAGATATATGGGCTCAAAGTTGATGGTTTGAGTGGTCTTCTCTTAGAGTGTTTGGTATCTCAAATCCTCACCATTCTCGATGAACGCACAAGTCATTACCAGACCTTGAACGTTATACTGATCAATCATTGCCCAGTGCTTCTCAATTGTACTCTTCTTTCTTGGGTTCTGATATACCAATACCCCGTTTTGATTTCGAATCTGTTCATTCCCATCCAGAGGTGCTTGTGACATGATGCACGAGCCCTTCTTCTCAAACTTCATCACGTTGGCGTTGATGAATGGATCATCAAACCCATTCAGACTGACTGCCGTATCCTTTATACAGATGAGTTCCTCATATCGTCTCTCCGCAATATTTTCCTTTTTATCCGCATCAGTAATCTTCAACTTTTCCAATCCTTTCAAATGTCCCAATACCTCCTTTGCCCAGTAATGTGGTGTCTTGTTGTTGCTGTTTTGTGCCATAATTGAGGTGTAAACGGTTTTTCCAACGGAAAAATAGTCGTCTTCGTCGCCTGAAAAAAAGAAGAACTGTACATTTAAAATCGCATGGGAACTGTTTCAAAAGTGGATTTTTGTTTGGGAAATTCGATGTGAACAGAAGAGAAATAAGTTCTGATGTTGTCATGCTCAAGTATGAGCTCAATTATCTTCATTCCTATGCAAGGTACCAAAACTGCGTCAACTAACAAAACACTTCTGATATTATGATAAACAATTTAACAGTTGCTAACTTTTTTGTATCTTTAACAGGTACCAAGATAAATTGGCTCAAAGTTAATAGTTAGGGGGCCATTCGTGACCTAATAAAACATTTCAATCTAAAACCCACGTTGCGTATCGTCTCTATCCAGCTCATTATATTTTCCTTCTTTCTTGCAGCACAGGCATCTACAGTATCCAAGCCATAGCAAAATGAAAAAGATCACCAATCCAACAAATACAACACCAACACCAGTCGGAGCCCTAAAACATTATTTTTTTCAAACTGAAAAATTCCAGGAACTCACATCACTGCTGGATCCTCATACCATTGCGAAACTGGAGACCGTTGAGGCATCGATTGATTGGAGCCACCAGAAATCGATTGAGGTCCAGAGGAAGATGCTTTGTACATTGCCTTACTGTAGGATTCAAAAAAGCGATCAATAGCTGCTAGAGATGCAATGGCGCCTTGGAATCCAAAGCCAGAAAAGTCCAGGTTCAAATTTTGCAGACTTTCGAGAGCAGTGACTGCGTTCTTTGAGTTGGCAGTGTTCAGAGCGTTCATGGTCTTCTTGATTTCCTCCAGTTCCTTTTCCGATACGAATATGACTCCTGGAATCTTTGCAGCATTCTTGAGGACCGTTTGCAAACTTTTGAAATTTGGGATTTTAGCATTTCTGGGTCTCCTGTACGCCCTTCTTCTCTTTCTTCTCATTTTCCCAACATCCAAATTTTTTCTGAATATATCAATCGCCGCCAACGTCTTCATCAGTTCCTCCTTGATTCTCGCTAGGTCTTTAATCCTTTGTTCTTGTTCTGGAGTCAGTTTCTTGGCCTTTGCATCATTTTTGATATCATCCATATTCTCTAAAAATGGCTTCAAGACGTCCCTCTTCTGATGGATTTCCAGAATTGAAGTTAATCCTCTCACAGCCATTCCAATCATATTCGAAAACTTTTGAGAATCCGGAAAACTTGAATTCAAAGCCAATGCTTCTGGTGCCCTCACTTCTTTCATTTTATCAGCCGATTTCTTGACATCCTTCAGATAATCGACAGATTCCAAAACGCCCTTGACAATTATATCTTCTGAACCTTTTTTGTTAGTTCTGATTTTCTGAATCATCTGAACCATATCCTTCACTGCTTTTCCACTATCTCCAATCTTTTCTAAGCAAGTATAAATTTCCAAATAACTCTTTTTGGCAAGATCATTGTGTAATTTGTCAGGGACCGTGAGATCCATTTCTTTAGCTAGCTTATTGATTTGAGGACTCACAGAAAGGAGAACATCAAGGTTGGTCTCAAGTCGCTTCAAATTTTGGATCATCTTCTTTTCTGGAGTTTCGGATTTCATGATCTTGATCAACTTCAGGCCAAGCTCTTTTTTCTGATCATCGTTCTTTCCAGTGACATCGACAAGAGCCTTCAAAATGGACAAATCCTTGAGGCTTTCAAAGTAATCCATATTTTCAATTTTTTGCATTAAACCTGACAACTCCTCAATTTTCGCTTTGACATCATCAACTGTTCTGACTTTTCCCGGGTAATCAACATTTTCATCGCATTCCAAGAATGCAGATACTGTTTTATATACATCTTCAGGGTTATCTGGTACTTGTGCAATATTCAGTTGATCGTTTTGGACAACCTCAAACGATTTTTGATTCGCGGGTTTATTTAATGGTATCCACTTCGTTCGTACACTATTCAATGCAGTTTTCAGAGAATCCAGTGCGCCAAATGCTTTCTTCAAGCTCTCTGACACAAGTTTACTCTGATTCATATGACCCGCAATCCAACCATTCTCACTATCCTTTGCCAACGTGTCCAGATCCTCAAACTGATTGATGAAACCGGATGTGTACAAAAAGGTTTTTTGCCTTTTGTTGCTCTCAGTAGTGAGTTGATGAATAGTTTTGAGACCGTCCTGTGCCTTCTGAGCATTCGTACGACTAGTGTATACTTGCTTCATGTTCTCCACAAATTCTGATCTGGCCTTTTCGTCGATTAATTGACTGTCTTTGAGCTTGATACGATTTTCATTCTCCAGTTCGAATAAGTCAATAAACTTTGACGAGTCTCTAGTCAGAAGAATTTTATCAACCAGATCAACGACTTCACCGAATCCTTGGATCCCTGTTTCCGTGTCAAGAAGATTATCATGTACAGATGGAAAAAGAATAGCCACCTTGCTAACATTTGCTTCTGTTTTAGTAACCGTATTCAGGAGTGCTGAATTCAACGCATTCGCCTCATTTTTCATCTTCTGTATTTCGTTTTTGAAACCATCCAACTTCTGAGCATCTTCCAAGTGAGTGTTATAGTCAACTCGTCCCGTGTAATTTTTAAAGTGATGTACAAATGAGGAATTTGTCCGGACATCCTCTAAAAGAACGAACCGAGCCTCTAGATTGCCTATCTCAGTAGTGCTTTTCAGTTTAGTGGGAAGCTCGGCCAGTCCAGTCAATGCATCGTTCAGAATCTTTGAATCCAGGTTGATGATATGTTTTGGTTTGATAGATCCCATATGAAGGAGTTCGGAGACCAGATCTTCGGAAGGTATGAGTCCAGTGAGGAGTCCAGCTTCCATGGATACTCCATTGATGAGACGAGCGAGGGTTTGGAAGTTCAAAACCAGCGGGGAGAGTTTGTCGCCTAGAAAGAAAGATTATTTGTTTATTTTGTTTCTCAGTATTTCTTACCTTTGGGAGCGCGACGAGATCTAGAAAAGTTCCCAGATTCCAAAGTATCCGAAATCGGAAAGCAGGCTACAGTCTGGAGTATGACCAGAAGCCAATTCCAATGGCGCCAAGGGAATATCATACTGGATGATCTGAAACTGGGAAAAATGGAATTTTAAAGACAATTGGCACATAATTCGGAGGGTACAACAATTCTGGTGTACAGAATTCGATTTTTTTATAAGTAATTTGTACCCTTAACTACCTCAAAATCTTTGTACCTTATTTGCCGGGACAATTATTTGAGAATCGAATGAACAAAAATCTACTCACTATTTTTTTTCAGCCTCTTACTTCGGATGACAGTAGTTATCTCAACGCGCAGATTCTCACCTGAAAATGTTGGAAACTTCCGATTTGATCTTTTATGCACCACTTACAGATCCTTCGTCGCAGTGTTTTTCTTTGCTGGACTATCGGTTGGATTATTGATTTGCTGTTGTCAGTATTGATTATGATGACAAAACAAAGTAGGGTAAAAAAAGGTTAGGCCAAGTTTTTAAGACGAAAAAAGTGTAGGATAAAGAAAAAGCATTCTAATCTAGGTTTTAGTATTTTCAGCGTGAATTAAAGTTTTTTTTTTAATTTCAGAAAATTCAGGAAATTAATAAAAACTGGTCCACACCTATCACACCAAACTTTTTCATGATAGGTCATTCTGTGGGGACTCCTAACTGGGGCGGACGTGCGCTGGAGTTTTCTAGGCCGCGGTCTCATAATGTTGCCTCTGGGAAACCCACAAGCAATTGGATGATGTCCCATCCCCCATAAAAAAAATAACACAGAGACTATTTTTGGCGACGTTGTAGATCAAAATTTCTCTCTCATTTTTTCGCACAGGCCTGGAAATTGTAAACATACAGTACCGGTTACAATTTTATGGGGAAAAATTATCATTTTTCAGACTTTATAATTATTTATTTGAAACGATTTTCAAGAGAAAAATTATACAAGTAAAATCAGAAAAAAGGAAACGACATGGTGGTTTTTGCTTTAATTATTTATTATGATATTTTTAATTATTCAAAATTAATTATGATCACACCCATTTGGGTTTGGGACCATTTCCAACGGCACTCGGCTGTCTGATGCCACTAGTTCGTGGCGTGGCAGGTAGTTGAGGGATTACTGTAGGTCTGGTGATACGGAGAGGTTTCGGCTTCTCGAGAACACTCATTTTGGGTAATGGAGAACGGACGATTGGGTGAGAACTGGTGTTGATAAGACTGGGACGAGCAGAAGTGGACACTGACGGTTTCATGGTGATCTGGAAATTTTTTTTTAAAAATCTATAACAGATTTTTTGGGATCTTGGGATCTTGGGATCTTAGAATCTTGGAAACTAGCAAACTTGAAATCTTGAGATCTTGGGATTTCGGGGTCTTGGGATCCTAGGATCTTAGGATCTTATTACTCACCTCCCGCTTCTTCTCAGCTGTCATTGTTGGCTTTCTAACAACTGGTGCACTCATTCTTCGACTCAATGGAGCCTGAATTCCACGGCTCACAGGCGGAGGTACAGTAACCTTGGGTACTGTATTCGACGTCTTCTGATTCCCAGGCGGTGTTCTTGCTCCAGGCTTCCGAAGTTCCGCAAGTTTCGAATGTGCTGGATTGCTTGTCGTGACACTCACAATTCGGACCTTTTCTGGAGTTGTCGATGATGGAGTCGAGATTTTGGGACGAATTATAGAAGTTGGCGTTTTAAGAGAGGGCTTCGGAATGATTCTTGGCTTTTCTGGAGTTTTTTCTAGAATTTTCTCTGGGGATTTTTCGATTTTCTTGGCAGTTTTCAGAGGTTCCGCTGGCTTCTCTTTTATTAAAATCTTCGGTTCTTCTGGTTTCGGAGTTTCTGGCTTTTGCTCCTTTGGGGGCTCTTTTTGGATATGGCTGGCTCTCTGAAAATTTGAATTTAGCTGTGAGGGTGCAGAAAAAGTCATTTTGTAGTTCAAAACTTCATTTCTAGCTACCGTAGTTTTTGAGATATGCACCTTTAAAGTCGGCATCTTTGCGTATCTATCTTTTCTTAGCGCGTCACCTTTAAAGGCGCATATCTCTAAAACTACGGTAGCTGGAAAAAAAGTTGACAACTACGAAAATATGTAAAATTTTATGCTGGAAATGTTTGTAGTTGACAACTTTTTTCTATCTATCGTAGTTTTTGAGATATGCGCCGTTAAAGTTGGCTCGTTTCTCGTCGTCAGGCGCCTGAAAGGAGGAGGGCACCTAATAGACACCCACTTCTATACATTCACTTTGAGCTCAATTATCCCATTTCCTGTAAAAGATATCAAAAATGTGTCAACTGATAAAATATTGCTGATATTACGATAAACATTTCATCAGTTCACAAATTTTTCATATCTCTCATAGAAATCGAGATAAATTGGCTCAAAGTTAAGATACCCTTGCTTACCTTTTTGGTCAAACTTGAAATATAGCTCTCCAAATCGTTGCACATATCATAGTTGGTGGATGTTTTCTTCGGGATTTTGTCATCATTTTCTTTACTACTACCAGTACTATCTGTTGGACTTTCCAGTGGTGGTGTTGGAGGTGTGAAGCTGGAAATTAGAGTGTTTTCAGCTGAATTTTTAGCTGAAACTGGGTTACTGTACCTTTCTGTAGTGACATCTCGAAGTTTTCGGATACGGATATTTCCAAGTTTCTGACGAACGTCCAGAATGTCGCTTGCTCGTTTTCGGGTTCTAAAAAAGGATTTTAAAGCTACAGTAATTTCTATACTAGAATAATTAGGTTCCTATGAGAGATATCAAAAATCTGTGAACTGTTAAAATATTGGTGACATTGTGGTAAATATTTTATCAGTTAGTAGATTTTTGATAGCTCTTACAAGAACCGAGATAATAGACAAGTTTTTGATATCTATCACAGAAATCGAGATAACAAGTCCTAAAAACTCACACTTCACATGGATCACTGGATGTCCCATTAGCCGTAAGTGTCTCAAAAAGATCTCCATTGTTCACAGATTTTTTGTCTAGCTTCTGCTCCATTTTCTCTTCTTTTTCCACTTTTTTCTCCTCCTTCCTCAATTTTCGATTCTCCCTGGACACGTGTTCCTTTAATGTCTGATGTAGTCGATTCAGTAGAAATGTGAATATTTTCAGACATTCGTCCAATTGAAAAGTGTTTCGATTCTCGCAAAAATAGTTGGCTAATTGGTGTTGTAGATCAATTAATAAATCATATTTCGCCTCAAAATCCTTCAATTCAAAACTGCAATCGATTTTTATCAACTCCAGGAATTGCTGAAACTCTTCGTCGTCTGATAACTTTTCCAATTGTCTTTCCAGTTTGATTCTATTATCTTTAAGAGATTTTAGAGAGGTCTTGATTTCATCAAAACTGATTTGAGCAGCTTCTTTTAAAGTGGAGAGTTCTGATTGAAGACTGGTAACAAGATCCGGTTCACACTGGAAAAAAAATAGTATTGATAGAAAATTTAGGTTTTGAAAAATGATTTTTCACATTCTGTGCATTTTGAGCTCAATTATTTCTGTTCCTTCGAGAGATACCAAAAATGTGTCAACTGATAAAATATTTATGATAATATCACATATATTTTATCTGTTGACAATTTTTCGATATCTTCCACAGGAACCGAGATAAATAGACTCAAAGTTGAAAAGGCGGCGGCTGCCGACATCTTAAATTTGAGTTCATTTATCTCAGTTACTGTAACAGATATCAAAAAGTAACCAACTATTAAAATATGTATCATAAAATCTTCAATATTTTATCAGTTGACACATTTTTGATATCTCTTACAGTAACCGAGATATATGAGCTTAAATTTAGGTCATATTTGTACACGTTTTGAAGCTCTTGTTTCAAATTCCAATTCAAAACCTACCGTCACCAGCAAATGAAGCAACGAAAATTCCTGTTTATTCCCCTTCAAATCAATCAGCTTCCACATGGAATTCAGTGTGAATCCGAATGCATTTCCTTGGGCGTTATTTCCATTCAAATAGTTTCCCATATTCACCAGAATCAGCAGAAGACGTGGTAGTGTTGGAGATTTTAGGATTTCTGAATTATAATAATCAATATATGGGGTTTTGGGGTACTGTACCTTGACTCGCACTCGTCAAAACTTCCACATTGGGTGCCAGTTCTCTCATTAGTCGCGAGAAGTCACCGAGGAAGATTTGAGTTTCTATTCTGAAATTGAACATTTGTTTATTGCTTTTTTTAAGCTCAATTATCTCGTTTCCTATGAGAGATAGAACAATTGTGTCAACTGATAAATTTTTTATCATAATACCACCAATATTTTATCAATTAACAAAATTTTGATATCTCTAGGAAGCAAGATAATTGAGCTCAAAGGTAGGAGGTCGGCAGTCAACGGCGTAGCTCAGCCGACAAGCTCCGATAGTTCAACTTTGAGCTCAATTATCTCGGTTCTTCTAAGAGATAAACAAGATTTATCAACTAATAAATTATTTATCATAATATGAGTAATATTTTATCAGTTGACAACTTTTTTGTATCTTTGACAGGAACCAAGATAAATACGCTCAAATTACAGGTATAGAGCAAATACGTTATTTCATTTTAGACTCCAAGACTAATTTGGTTTTTTCAATTGCCTAGTAATGATTATATTCATTTTGAAGCTCTCAAAAAGAAAAACTTGAATGACATAGTCACTTTCAATTTTAGCTCACCTCAATCGATAGAATGGAATTTGAACGAGTCGATAGAAAAACGAGGAGGGTGGAGACAGCAATGAGATATCTCCGGTGTATCGTTTCAGCGCTTCTTCCTGTAGAAAAAAATTGAATTTTAAAAAAAATTAAATTAGCCAATTATAGACTAATTATACCTCCTCATTTTGTGGCAACATTCCGAATAGATTCTGAAGAGCGTCAATTTCAGCAACAGGTTTGTTTGAGCTGACATTTTCGATGAATTCGTCGATATTTTTGAATTGTTTCAGCATGATCGCCACATTTTGACTCCGTTTAGAAGTGAGCAACTCGACGTGCGCATCTTTTCGGGACGTCTTCTGAAAGATTCTGATTTTTTTCTTTTTTCCAGAAACCCTAACCTTCTTGATCCCTATTTCTGATGAACCTTGAGCAGCAAGCGTCTCAATTCCAAAGAAATTATCCAATAAATCAAAATCGATGTCCACATCGGAAGCTTTTGCCAGTTTTCCCCATACACTGTCGTCCAACACAGTGTTCGCATTGATTTTCGACCATTGCACCGTCCGCGTTTTCGTCTTTTTCTCTTTTTTCGGAATAAATGAATTTGGACACTCGGCTTTTAGTTTCGCAGGAAGACCTTGACCTATTTTTGGGATTTTCGGTCCCTTTAAGGTTAGTGGAGGTGGTGGAGGAGGTGGAGCTATCAGGAGAGGGGGCGGGGGAGGGGGCGGAGCTTTCATTTGAATAATTGGTGGAGGCGGAGGAGGGGGTGGAGGGGGCGGAGATTGATGGACTAGATTCTCGTTGGAGTCAAGAAGTTGAAGCTTTTTGAGCTGGCGTTCAGCGTCGGTCTGGAAGCTTGAATCTTAGAATCTTAGGATCTAAGTATTGTAAGGGTTTTGGGATCTTAGGATTTTGAGCATTTGAGATCTTGCAATTTTGGGATCTGAAGATCTTGAGATCTTGTAATCCTAGAACCCTGGAATCTCGGAATCTTTTAATCTCAAAATGTCAGTTAAAAATAAAAACCAACCTGCGAACTAATCCCCTTCAACTGTTCCAATATCTGGGAGAGAAAAAACGCTCTCGCCTCATTTTCTCCACTTCCTCCATCCTTATCCAATAATAGTTCGTCGAGTGTTCGTCGAATCGTGTCGCTCGTCATGGTTTTTGCATATTCTGGAATTTTTTATTGCTTTAGATCATAGGATTCAAGACTTTTCTACGGTTGGAAGTTAAAAGAGTTCAAAAAATCGAGCGCCGGGATTTTTGGAAGAAAAATCCATATATAACTTTGAGCTTAATTATCTCGGTTCCTATGAGAGATATCAAGAAGTTGTCTATTGATAAAATATTGCTGATAATATGATAAACAATTTGTTTGTTAACAAATAGTTGATATCTTTCACAGGAACCGAGATAGTTGAGCTCAAAGTTAAGAGTTCGGCAGGCAACCGCGTTGCTCTGCCGGCAAGCGCCGACTTTTCAACTTTGAAATCATCTATCTCGGCTCCTATAAGAGATTCCAAAAATTTGTCAACTGATAAAATGTTTGTGATATTATGATAACATTTCATCAGTTGACCACTTTTTAATATCTGGTACAGGAAATGAATGCGAAAAATGGGGTCTAAGTTGACTAAGCTTTTATAAGAAGAAATCAGGTATATCTGAAAAACCAAAAGAGCTAAAGGAAAACTTTCAACTAAGGAAAGATGTGAAATTCAATTTTAAAAACTTTTCCAAACGTTTCTAGCTTCATTGGAAAGTGAGAAACCCAGCAAATTAAAAGTAACCATAGTGAAGCTCCCCGACCTTTTAATCCAAACAAAACTGTCATTTGCCCTTGTCTTCAGGAACTAGTCTTCAGGTGTCAAAAGTTCCCTCTAATGATACTCGACGAAATAAAAAAAAGGTAGCCTCTTTTTTCCGTATAGAAGTACAAAAAAAACTAGATTCAACACTACTGGTTGCACTATTTGTTTGCTTTTGTTTTCTCCCTTCTCTTGGACCCGAATTTTTATTTATTTGATTTGATTTGATATGTGTTACGAAGCATATAGTGTTGTGTAATTTGACTGGAACCGGTACAAAAAAAAGTGAGAAAGTTTGAAAATCGAAAATTCGTAGAATTAGAGAGCGCTAAACTTCAATTTTTAAAGGCGCATACCGTACACACTACTATGCCACTACCATGCACCCTACCATGCCTCCAACTTTGAGCCCCTATATTTCATTTTCTATAACAGATATCAAAATTATTTCAACTGATAAATTATTTACCGTAATATCAAAAATATTTTATCAGTTGACAAATGTTTGATATCTTTCACAGGAATTGAGATAAATTATCTTAAAGTTAAGAGGTCAGCAGCCAACGGTGTAGCTAAGCCGTCAAGCGTCGACTGGGCAACTTTGAGCCCCTATATCTCATTTCCTATAACAGATATCAACAAGTGGTCAACTAATAAATTGTTTATCATAATATCACAAATATTTTATTAGTTGACAAATAGTTAATATCTTTTACAGCAAACGAGATAATTGAGCTCAAAATGGATGGTTTGAATCGGCTTTTATTAGACGGACTACGGTAGCTATCTCAAGCCTAAACCCAGAACAAAAAGATGTTTAACCTAGATGTACTATTAAACTAGATGTAGTATTATAATAAATACAATAGTATTGTACACATATCACAGGGGCGATAAATTGGAGGAGGAGAAGGACAAGCACACACAAAACGGGGAGAGATAGTCTCGAGTGGACGAGAGGGCTCATTAGCATATTCATATTCACACACAGTGGAAAATCAAGAAAAAGAATATAGAGGGTAAACAGAGATGATAGTGATCGGGGGGGATGGAAGCGCGTCAAAGGTACGCCAGCCAATGGGGGAGGGCAAACAAACGGGCGCGTAGTTCCCGCCACTTATTGATATGGGGAATGGGGTTTCCGGATATCAACTGGATTGACAGTTTTTTTTTTGGTTTTTCGAGGATTTCTGTGATAAGGAAAAAGATTGGGATGATAAGAGATGGGTATGACGATTGTGATAAGGATAAATAATCGTAAAAGTGCAGATATCGTATTTTCTCTGATAGATGCTCTTTAAGCTCACTTATCTCGAGTCCTCTAAGAGATATCAAAAACCTGTCAACTAATAAAATGTTTATCATAAAATCAGCATTATTTTATCAGTTGACAGATTTAAGATATCTGTTACAGGAGTTGACATAATTAATCTCGAAGTTGGAAGCGAAAAAACCCAAAAATCGAAAATCTCAGAAACTCAGAATTTTATAATTTTAGAATTTTAGAATCTTAGAACTTTAGAATCTCAAAATTTTAGAATCTCAAAATCTTAAAATCTCCAGTTCTGTATAGTCCAAATAACCAAACAACTAAGAAAATCCAGGGTTTGGAATTTCAGAATTTCAGAATCTCAGGATCCTAAATATCCTTCAGATCCAAAAAATCAAAAAAAAAAATCTCAGAACTTCAAAATCTCAAAATCTTTGAAATTCCGAAATCATGAATCTCAGAGTTTGAGTATTTTGGAATTTCATAGTCTTAGAACCTTGGAATCTTAGAATCTTAAAATTTTAAAATATTAAAATCTCCAATTCTGTAATCCAAATATTCCACAGTTCATATAATCCAACAACTCAAAAAATCCAAAAAATCTTAAAATCCAGAATTTCAGAATTTCAGAATCTCAGAATCCTAAAAATCCTTGGAATCCAAAAATCCTAAAAATTCAAAATGTTCAAATTCTTAAAAAATTCAAAAAAATCGTCTTATCTCAGAATTTCGAATTTGCAGAATCACAAAATCTTTGAATTTTCAAAATTTCGAATCTTAGAATCTTAGAATCTAGAATCTCTGCAGACCCCAAAGATTTGTAAAAGCGTATAAAATTCAAAAAGCAATAAAAAACGAATATGAAACTGACCCGTCCGTTTCCTCTCCCCGCCCCTCTCAAACAAATTTTTCAACCATAAAACACAGCTGCGAGCCACCTGTTTTTGATACTAGTATAGTACAAAAATTCTCAAAATGTGTACTTTTTGTTGAGAAGGGACAACAAATTATGGATTTTTTTAAATTGTATGGATTTTTTGGAATTTCCAGGTTCTTGGATTTTTGGGTTTTGGACTAGCTATCATTTTAAAAACAACTAAGAAGCTTCAAAGCTATCTATCTATAGAAATTTAAATAATTTTATATGACTATATATGGTATAAAAATAAAAAACCATAAAAAATAGAATTTGAATTTGTACACATCTCTCCAGAAGACGAAAAAAGAAAGAAAGGCGGTGCGGGGTTATGATGCGCGACGCATATGAAAAATGATGGGTAGTGGCTTTTTGTACAAATATGATTGTATACAATATTTATGAATATGACAAACAAAAAATGACTAAAAAGGTAGAACACATTATTAAAATAGGGTTTTTTGACATTTTCGGTTTACGAGCTTTATTTTTGTAGTTGACCAATTTTTGCTAGCTATGAAGAAAGGGAGAGAGGCGCGCCAAATTTGAAAGTGCATATCTCCAAAACTACGGTAGCTAGAAAAAAGATGTCAACTGCAAAAGCATGTGAAATATTATTGCAAATATTTTGTTAGCCAACAAAAATTGTCTAGCTTTTTTATTTTTGGAGTTACGAGCTTTTAAAGTCGGCTTCTCTCTTTGCTCGGCGCTTGTAGAGAAGAGGCGTATCTCAAAAACTACGGTAGCTAGAAAGATGTTGTGAACTGCAAAAATATGTAAAATATTATTTTACACAGTTTACTAGTAATCAAAAAAAGTCTAACTCTTTCCGTTTTAAAGGTATGCGCCTTTAAAGTCCAACAGTCTGTTGGAGTACAAGCACAAGCACACACCCGGGGCGGTACGACGAACCATAAAAGGGGAGAATGAACCGAAAAAGAGAGAACGTACGGAGGGGATGCGTCAATTCGAAAACAATAAAAATATCATCATCATCGTCTTCTTCTTCTTCTTCTTTTGTAGAAAAAGGGGAGAATGAGCAAACAAAGAATGAGTAATATTTTTGTTAGAAATACGAATAAGGGGGATGGATATTGTTTTATAGCTTGAATTGAAACAATACAAAACATGGATGTTAGAATCGAAAAGGAAGAGAAATGGGTCTGAAAAAATAGTCTGAATTTAAAGCTCCATGTTTACTGTTGATAACTTTTTCCTAGCTACTGTAGTTTTTGTTGGCAGGCGCCAAGGCATCCAATCTTCAAAGGCGCATAACTCCAAAACTAAAAAGGCCAGACAATTTTAATCAACTAACAAAATGTTTAAAATAAAAGTTTACATACTTTCGCAGTTAACAACTTTTTTCTACCTACTGTAGTTTTTTAGCTATGCGCCTTGGAAGCTGGCGCGCCTCCCCCTCTCTTTGAGCGTCGAGCAAATAGAGTCGCTAACTTTAAAGGCGCGCAACTCAAAAACTATGGTAGCTAGAAAAAAGTTGTCAATTACAAAACTGGAGATCTACTTCTTATTTTTGTTCAATTCAAAACACAAAAACCAGGTAGAAAAGCCCTAGCAACTTTACATAGAGCCCCAAAACTGAGGCTTACTTTTCAACGAAACTTCAGGAAACACGTGTAATCCGTCTGGAGATGGTGTTTGAATAATGATGAGAAAGGCTATGTTCGGGAAACCGAGAGGTTTAGAGGTAGAGTATCCCTTCTTTTTCCCGGGAGGGGGAGAATTCAGTTATCTAATCCAAACTGATGATTTATTTGAATCCTCGCGCACGGGTGGTGGGTGGTGGTTGTAAAGAGATAGATAGAGGTGAAGGCGGGAACGGTGAGAACGGAAAAAGGAAAACAAAGGGGAAAGTGAGAAAATCTAAATAAAAACGTTTTGATACGTCGGCAGATTTAGTGGTTAAAAATGTCCGGATTTTCCCGAAGTTTTGAACCTATTTTTGTAGTGGTAACTTTGAAGCTAAATATCTTATTTCCTGTAAAAGATATCAAAATTCTGCCAACTGATAAAATATTGCTGATATTGTGATAAACAATTAATCAGTTGACAACTTTTCGGTATCTTTCGGAACAACCGAGATAAAATGCTTCAAAGTTAGGAGCCTGTTTATTACCGGTTTCACGGTACTTTTCTTTCGAAATCTTTTAAAAGCTTGAAAAATATAAAGTTCTAACTTTAAATCGCCCGAAACTAGAACAAAACTTTAGAGATTTTAAGGAATACGGTAACTAAAAAAATAATGTGAATGAGTATTCAAATTATGGAATCAATAAATTAAGAATGTAGTCAACTACTTAAGAAGTGTCAAGGCATATCATTGGCATGTCATTGTGATAAGTGAAAAGTTTTCAAAAATAGCTACTTCTAGCAAAACTACTAAGTTTTGAAAACTCTGTAAAGTTTTCATAGTTCTAACACTTTTTTAAAGAGAGTTATGCACCTTTAAAGTTTGGAAAAGACGCAGAGAAGCGAGAGTGCTCTCTCGTCTCTGCGTTTCTAAAGGCGCCTAACACTTTGAGCTCAATTATCTCGGTTCCTATGAGAGATTTCAAAAAGTAGTCAACTGATAAAACATTTATCGTTATATCAGTAACATTTTATCAGTTGACTACTTTTCGATATCTCTCACAGGAAATGAGTTATATTGGCTTAAGAGTTCATAGCTTGCCGCCTATGCTACCGACCTCTTAACTTTGCCCATTTATCTCGATCATTATGAAAGGTATCAAAAAGTGGTCAACTAACAAAATATTCCTGATTTTATAATAAAAATGTTGTTAATTGACAACTTTTTTTATATATCTTTCACAGGAAAGGAGATATGAGGGGCCAAAGTTGACGGGTTTTAGAGGGTTACGGTAACTGGTTAGGTAGTCAAAAAAATGAGAAAAAAACCTAAAAAATGTTTGGTATATAAATTTCCAAAAGCCTTCGTTTCTTTCTCGAAAAATATTTCAACAACATCAACACAAATCTAGAGAGGAGAAGCGAACAGTTTCGAAACACGAGATACGGATCTTCTTCTTCTTCTCGCTTCTCTACCATAAGACACCCGGCCCCCCGGATTCCGTTGTGCAATCATTTTTGGAAATCTCCCTCTTCTTCGTATTCTATTTCCGCAAAAATGACAATGAATCGCACTTTCATCTCGTCTCAATGCTTTTGAACGGTTTTTCTTGAAGAAGCGGGGGGGGGGGAGTGTTGAATTTCCAAGCTGCTGGGGGATTTTAGCCATTTGTCTGTGTTCCTATGAGAGATATCGAAATTTTGTCAATTGATAAAATATTGCTGATATTATGATAAACATTTCATCTATTGACAAATTCTTGGTATCTCTTATAGGAACCGAAATAATTGAGCTAAAAGTTTAAAGGTCGGCAGGCGACCGTTAAGCTCGCTGGCAAGCGCCGACTTTTCAACTTTGAGCTCAATTATCTCGGCTCCTGTGAAAGATATCAAAAATCTGCTAACTGATAAAACATTTAGCTTGATAACAACAATATTTTATCAGTTGACAAATTTTTGATATCTTTCAGAGGAACTGAGATACTTGGGCTTCTATTAAAGCAAGCACAGTGAAAGTGTATATCAATGTTTATTCAAGAACAAACGTGCTAAAAATATAGATCATCGAAATCTTCGTAGTGCTAGAATTTGATTGTACATCGTGAGATACTTATAGGCATCAACATCAATCGCCTTCTTCTCCTCACTCTTCATTTTGATCACCGCAGCTTGAACCTTAGCCATCGCCACAATACTAATCTTGGTTTTCAGCGCAGCATTCTTCGCTTCATCGGCAGTGCATTCAGCACCCTTTCCCAATTCCAACACAATCCTCCGGACTCTCCTGTCGTTTATTAGAGCTTCCGAGCTATCCTTTTCAGCTTGAGCGGCTATCTTAAGAGCTTCGACAGCTTCATCGGCAGACTCCAAGATTACATCTATCACAGCACCTTCAGCTCTATAAGCTTTAATACAGGCATCTGCTGCTTTTTCAATCTCGCCAGCTAGCCTAATGGCTTCATTCAACGCCTTGGTAGAGTGCTCACTACCTCTCTGGGCTTCTAGAGCTAGCTTCACAGCTCCCGTAGCTTCTTCATAAAGTCTTCGGGTCTCCTGGAATGCCTTATCCGCAGGACTTCTAGATTTCGTTGCAGTCTGACTTTCTGGCTTCCCTTCTCGAATCCTTCGTTCCTCCGCCTCATCCTCTGCATCCGTCGGAATGTCATAGACCTCTCTCATCTCCTCTGGAGTCTTTCCTTTCCCCATTAGTGCTACCTTCTTGCACGCGTAGTTCATCAGTAGATTGATATCCAGGTAGTTGGAAGCGATGATCAAATCGAAGAGCTCTGAATTGCTCATCCTTAAAAACTCCAGATCCCAATCCGGCGTCACTAATTGCTCACTGCCGGTGAGTCTGACATCGGTGATCGGATCGGCCTGATGGTACTCACACCACTGCACGATTTTCGAGAGTGTTGCTCCAGAAGCACCGATGGGAAGGACGCCATCGGGATGGGCGAAGCTTGTGATGTCGCAGAGGAGTCTGGATTGTTGTGCAGCTGCCATGCTGATTTTCAGTTTCATACCATCGCTGGATTCGAGCGTGTAGAAGACTGCGCCGGAGGACATCTGGAAGTGGTGGGTATGGAGCGGATGTTGAGCGGATGATGAGCGTACGGAAAAGAACGAACGGAGAAAAATGGAAATAACGAAATGAAAAAGGAAAAACGGCCTAATCAGGCTGTTCCAGAAGTGTGAAGAATGATTCTAAGATTCTCAAATGGTTCAGAAGGCTCCCTGGGAGGTCTAGAGACCTTCTGGAGCCTAGATTCTTAGATACTAAGGATTCCTAGGTCTATAAGTTTCTAGAATCCTCAACGGTGGTCCCAAAGGTTACACCGGGATTCCAGACGATTCTTAGAGATTCTATGGAAATTCTAAAAGTGTGCCCTCCCTCAGAATGTTCCAAAAACTTCCGGAAAATACAGATTTTAGTGTTGGATTGATGTGATAATGGATATGGTAGCTGTGGGGGAAACGATATGGGGGCTATGGGAAAAAAGGGCCGAGCAATCTAGGGCGGGAAATTCGGGACGGGGAAAAAGAAAGGAATGGTAGAGATTCGATAAATGAAAATGAAAATGAATACATATACATCTAATATAAATATATAGAAAAAAGAGTAGAAAAAATAAATATAAAAATTATATATGGGGGATTCTGAATATCCTGAATACAGTAGTCCTTTATGATGTGGTAGGAATAGAAGTAGGAATAGCAGTAGGAATACGAGCCGTTGAAACACGTTCACACATTGAGATGAGGATCTGAAAATGGGGATATGTGGACATTGGGACACACAGACAGACCTCCTGAACTTCAGCACGAGCTAGTTGAGTGACACATAGCTCTTTAATAGGTGCTCCTTTGGACATTGTGGTTTCGAGGGCGTTGGAAGAGAGCGCACGTGACTGACCAGACGATTCCGATGGGATGTTCATGAGCATTTCGCATTGGACCTGAAAACAAGGGTTCTAGAACTATTCGCTTGCCTTCAGAGCTCTTCAGACATCACTAGGAGAATTTAGAAGGTTCAGGAACCTTTGGGGTCTTTCGAGAGCTCCCAAATCCTTCTAGAAGTGTCTAAGTCCGTCTACTCACCTTTTAGAAAGACTTGAAAGCTCTGGAAACGTCCCAAAAGGTTTCTGAACCTTCAAAATCCTCATGGAGCTGTCCAGAGGACGATAATGGTTCTAGAACTCTCTAAGCAGCTCCATGAGGATTTCGAAGGCTTCCAGACCATTCTAGATTCTTATAGATCCTTTTAGAATCTTCCCAGCCTCTCTAGAATCATCTAGAACCTCCTAGAATCTTTCACACCCTTCTAGACCCTACGGGACCCTTCTAGAATCTCCCTATTTCTTCTAGAATCTTCCAGACCCTTCTAGAATCTTCTAATTCCTTTTAGAATCTTCTATACCCTTCTAGAAACGCTAATCTTCAACACTCACATGCGCATGTTTGGCACTCTTCATATTCCGATGAATCTGGTGCGCCGACAGAAGGCTCGCACAATTTCTGGCGTCGATCAGAAGAAGCGCGGCGTCACAGGCGTCCATGTAGGCTTGTGGGAGATTGGTATTCTGCAAAAAATCGAATTTCAAGATGAGGCAAAGATTCCCTCACATCATATTCCGGATCAATGATATCCAACACATGCTCCACATCATCGGAAATGTTGATTATCTGAAAACATCGTATTTTAGAGCGCTACAGTAACCCCTCTGAAAGCTGACCAAAGAAACAATATGGGGCAGACGATTATCACCCTCTGGATAGGGCATCATTCCGATGCCAGCGAGACGATAGCGTTCGGCTAGGGGGATCACACGAATACGATCTGAGGTACCGTCCAGGAACAGCTGACGGATCGAGCGAACCTGTAGAAGCAAAAGGATAAAGGCTACACCTGTATTAGAAGGGCCCCCCTAACTCGGCTTCTGTCAAAGATATAAAAAATCTGTCATCTGATAAAATGTTTATCATAAAATAACAATTGTTTTATCAGTTGACAATTTGTTTCTATCTTTGACCGTAACCCAGATGGAGCACTTCTAAATCAGGTTTAGGCTTACCAGCGTTGTTTTCCCAGCGCCAGCGTGTCCAAAAACAACTAGAGTGATCTCTGAACCGCCAGCGATTCGCTCAAACTTCCTTCCGATTCCCATATAGTAGCCAAGAGCGAAATTTCCAATATTCGGAGGGGAAACCGAGTCAGCCGATGGGTCGTCGTGTTCGTTCTGAACCATTTTTCGTGAGAATTTGCTATCAAATGACCTTCAATTAGCCGGGTTTCTCTTCAAAAACCCTCACCTGAAGTCTCACAAACGATATTGTGTCGTTGAAGAAGCTGCCCTCCTCTTTCTTCTGATGTCTGAGCAATTGGACTTGTCCTGAGGCACCATCCGCCGATACTTTGCCCTTTTTGGAGACAAAAAGTCGCTTCCAGAGGGATTTCATACTGGATTTCTTGTCCTTCTGCTGTGATGGAGTCGTCGTCTCTTCATCCTCGTCTTCTGAGAACAGCGGCAAGGATTCTTCTGGAATCGGAGCTACTCTAGTGGTTGAAGCTGTGTTATGACGCTTGGATTTCGAGCGGAACGCGTTGAGGGATCTTCTAAGGAACGAGTTTCGCTTCAGTTTTGGTTCCTCGGCTTCTGGCTTGCCACGTGGCGATAAAGATTCCTCCAAATCGCTCATCGAGGATCCCATGGTTGCAGAGGTATAGCGTTCCGAGCGTCGTCCGAATCCATTTCGCCTGAACATCGCTGATGCAGCCGCTATGATCGATTCGTCGGCCGTCTGATTCTTCTCATCAGGAGCTTCTGGAGAGAGGCTCTGGTGGAAATTGTTGGATTCTGGTGGAATCTTCAGTGAGCTCTTCGTGGGGCGCGCACTCGGCGAGAGTGGACGACGACGGTGTGGAGTGATGGGGCTGGAAATCCCATAGGTTCTTTAAGTAAATTCGAAGAATCTCTGATCCTTTTTGTTGCAAAATTTGAATTGAAAAGAAGGAAAAAATAGATAAACCAATTTATTAATCAGATCAGATCTTTTTTAGTTTAAAACTTTCAATTAAACAAACAATAATCAAATTAACTTAATTAATACTCGTATCCATAATCATCCATTCCTAGTACCAATCGTTTCTGTGCTGGTGGTGGAGGGGCTGGTCCGGGACCACCGTCGTCCTCTAGAGGATCCTCTAGAAGATCTACTAGAGGTTCCATTGAAGGATGCCCTAGAAACTCATCTTCCGGATACTCCAAATCGTCATCGTCTTGATAAACGGTCTCCACCACGAAACCCAACGGATCCTCATTCGCTAACATTTCATTGTACGCGTCAATGTCCTCCTCCATCACCTCTTCTTTTATCACTTCGTATCCAATCAGTTGTCCCTTACCTTCGACGAATGGCCCCTGGCGTTCTGAAATACGAGACGTTTTGCTGGTTTAAACCGGCAAGTATCATACTAGCGACCGGTCCCTTGCCAAGCGTTAGTGGTCCTTGTCATAGATTTCTTTGGTATCAGTATTTTCAGACAAACCAAGTCAGATATGATACAACCCGATGAGTACTACAAAATGATATTATTTGGAGGATTGTGTCTTGTTTATGAACAAAGTTACAGACAAAACAGAGAGGCCCGGTAACTTTATGACTTGTAATTTTGTTCATAGCCAAGACAAAGTTCTCCCAATAATATCCTTTTTTTTAGTGCTCGTCGAGTTCTATCATGTCTGACGCAAAGGCGTGGTCCGCAAGTATGGAAATCATTAGGTGGTTAAAGTGGTTTTTATGCGATTTTTTAACTTTTTAGAGATTAAAAATTCAAAAGTACCTGGATCCAGCAACACGAATTTCCTACTAGGAGGATCGCTTTCAAAGGTTCCGTGCACCGTTCTAGCGTCTTGTGATGTTCCAACCTCTCCATATCCATCATAATCCCCATCATAATCATCATCATAACCAGCTTGCTGGTCATAATCATAATCATAATACTCTTCCTCCTCTAGTTCTGGCGGTGGTGTTATTTCCTCTTCTTTAATCTCGATGTCTTCCATCTTTTTCTTAGGAAGTGTGATATGCTCCCAGACCTCTCGTCGATCCTTCCGCTCCTGATACTCTCGTAAGCATCTGTTACACTGAAGTTGAATGGAGGTGAAGAATCGCAGCTCCTTGAACACTTTCTCCTGTCGTTCCTTTTTACGCTCGGCGTGTTTCTCCTTCGAATACTTTTTCATGCAGGTTTGAACAAGTTTACTTTGGGAAATGAGCATTTGATGGAACTGACAATCGGTCTCTCGGTCGGATTTGCGGAGGGGATTGTAGCGTTTCGGGTCGAAATTGGTCATTATGCTTTGGGCTTCGGCTATGGTGTGTTTCGCCTCCATTGTTTGGCCTCCAGAGGGCTGGAAAGCGGTTATTGGGTGTGGTGGGGTTGGTGGAGCGAAGATAGTAAAAAGAGGAAGAGTTCCAAAAGGAAAAGGTACGAAAAATGAATAGAACCAGACGAGCTGGGTTGAAAAGTATAAGATAAGTGATAGAGAATCTAGAAAATTTCTATAGAAATCAATTTTTCGAGTGACCGAAAAATTAAAATTTTTATAGATCAAATTTCAACAAATTCTCAGAATTAAAGTTTAAAAAAAAAACAGGAAAATAGCAATTTCGAACAAAAATTGCGCGCGAGAAGTTCTATGTGCCGTTGTTCTGTCCCTCCCTCTTTTTCTCTGCGTCTCTTCGACCATAGCGTGCAGGTCTACACTCTCGCACAGCTATCGATTCTGTATACGCGTCGTTCTGAAGGCAATTTTCGGTGGAGAATCGAATTTTTAAACATTTTCAGATGAAAATTTCGGTTCTCCGTCGTTCTGGAGGCTATTTTAAAGAGAAAATTCGAATTTTCAGCGATTTTTCAAGCTGAAAATTCCATTTTTACGTCGTTCCGGAGCGAATTTTACAAAAAAAAGTCGGATTTTCGCCTGTTTTTAGCTGTAAATCGAGCTTTTACGTCGTTCTGAAGACTTTTTGAGAGGGAAAATTCGAATTTTTAGCGATTTTTCTAGCTGAAAATAGCCAAGTCAGCACCTCGAGCATATGGTTGGTCCGGCGATGGAAAAGAATAGACGACGTTTCTGTGACATCGTTCGGACCAGTTTCGGCGGATCGATTAGTTTTTGTTGGTGTTGTTGAGATCCTTCTGCTGATTGCGACTCTTTTTGGAGCTGAAAATCCCAAAAATCGATATTTTGAGAGCTAGAAAATAGGAATTTCCACATTCCCTATTAGGGATCCCGGCTTCCCTACCTTCTCTTCTGACACAAACGATTCTTCGTACGACGACTCGATGATATCTTCGTTTTTCAGCTTCCGTACCATCTGGAATTGAAAAAAAGGCTTTATGCCAAATATATCAAAAATCAATACATTATCAAGTGTAATACTGGGAATCATGGCTTCGAACGGGCCCACATCATGCTTGCAAATCACACAGCTTCTCGTATTCCTCGTGTGTCGCTCGATGCACGGTTCACAGTACGAATGGCCGCAAGTGACCATTACTGGCTGAAAATAGGTCAAAATATATGAAAAATTCGAAAAAGTCCTGGAAATCTGGCAGAAAACAAGTTTTCAGAAGTTTTAGAACCGCCCGTACTCTATCGAATAGATGATCACACAGTGGACAGAGTAGATCGGAGCTCAGATCCCGACGCAGCGGTTGAACATCGTTGATACACTGAAAATTACAGAAATATCGAATTTTTGGTTTATTTTGCATCATTTTTTCCAGGAATTTGCATTTCCCCCTCCTCGTACCGCTGTCGACGTCGTCGCGTTGGATTCGAGACGTGGCGATGAGTGAGCGATGGACAAGTCGCTTTTCGACGCATGAATCTGAACGGATCCGCCGTCTGAGGTGTCTACGACTTCCGTCATTTGCCTTCAACAAATTTTAAAGAATCTGATGATTGAAGGAGAAGAAATATGCATGCATATGAAAAAAAAACACAAAAATCTTATAAATTGGAAAAGGATTAATGTTTATTACTGTATTTACAGAAAAAATTAATTTAAAAATCGAAAAATAAAGATTATTGGCTTGCAATTAGGTCCTTGAGACTCTTCAAAACGTCGTCGCGAGCCTGTCGTTCTGTTTCCTTCTGAATCATCGTTCTTTCCAGTTTTTCACATTCTGAAGAAGCAAATCTTTATAATACGTTTCCCTTTTTTGAAACTCACTCCCAGTAGCTTTCTCATGAGCCATATGCTCTCCTTTTAGCATTTCATCAGACTCTTCGTTTTCTTTTTGATGCTTTTCAATGAATTCTTTGCTATGCTCCGTAAGACTATTATTCCAATTTTTTTGAAGAAGTGGCGGCATTTTTTTGATTTCAGTGGCTTGCACCTCGGCGATTCTCGCGTCCATTTCAGCGAACATTTTTTTATGATCCATTTTTGTGCTGAAAATTGAAAGTTGCGCTGAAAAAAAATGAAAGCTGCGCTGAAAAAAAAAGAAAATTCAAACACAAATTCAATTTCGCGCTGATTGGTCTCGCCACGAAGTGGATTTGGCACATTGCCAATGATGCATGCGCGCTCTATCGACAAATTGCGAAACGATTTTCCCTCGTGCCGGCGACGCCGGTGACGTCATTTTCATGTGATTTTCATCGATTTTTCACGGAATTTTATGATTTTTGATGCTTCGGATTCGAAAAATAGGTTATTTTTCATCTAGAAATTTTGTTATAGGTCACAAGAACCTTCCGAAAAGTCCAGAAAATTGATTTTTGCAGAAGTCTTGTTTTTTTTTCGTTTTTATCGAATTTTCGCATTTTTTTAAAGTAAAAAATTTTCCAGATGAGCGACGACAGTTCAAGTCCACTTACCACTCTAAAAATTCTCATCATCGGAGAAAGCGGTGTTGGAAAATCCAGTCTGATGCTCCGCTTCGTTGATGATGTCTTCGACCCCGAGCAAGCGGCTACAATTGGTAAGCATCCCGTTTCTTAGCTGATTTTTTCAATGTTTTAATTTTTCAGGCGTTGATTTCCGTGTTACTTCTATGACAATCGACGGGAATCGAGTGAAACTAGCCATCTGGGATACCGCAGGCCAGGAACGTTTCCGAACGTTAACTCCTAGCTACTACAGAGGTGCCCAGGGCGTCATTTGTGTGTACGATGTGACGAGTCGGAGTTCGTTTGAGAAATTGAAGCATTGGATGACAGAAGTGGATACCTACTGTACAAATGATAATGTTATCAAAATGATGGTAGCCAATAAGATTGATATGGTAAGAGATCGTCCTAGAGATTTCTTTATTCAATAAATCGATTTTTCAGCCAAATCGAACAGTGACTCGCGAGGAAGGCTTAAAATTCGCCAAACGCCATAGAACTCTGTTCATTGAGGCCAGTGCCAAGACCAAGGAGGGCGTGCAGTGCACATTCGAGGAGCTCATCGAGAAAATCATCCAGACACCGGACCTATGGGATAACGATAGACCAACTTTCCGACTTGGACAACCCACGGATACTTCTAGTGGAAATTTGTGTGGATGTTGATTCTAATTACATGTTCTTCATTGTAAATTCGCTAGCTTGTACAAAATTATTTCCCCATTTCGCAAAATTTGCCCTCCTGTGCCTTTTTTACCGTTTATATAAACATGATTTTTTTTCTCTCTCTCTCTCTTGTAGCTTTCATCGTTCCAGCGATCTTTTTACCTTACCTTTTTTCATTCCTCTATTTCCATCCCTAACCCTTATTTACAGATGGTTGAACAAGCTCAAGGTTCCCTTGAGGAAATCGAACGGCAATTTTTGGATGTCGCTCAACGAGATGGTTTGGAGAGCCTGCAAGAAGACGTGAAGCCTGATGTGAAGTCAGATTTGAATGGGAATGGAGAGGAGAAGCGTGATCGAGACGACGAGGATCGGAAGAAGAGAAAGCGTTCGAGGAGTAGAGATCGTGGAGATCGGGACAGGAAAAGATCTAGATCGTGAGTTTTCTATCGCAGGCATTCTTTTTAAAAATGAATTTTTCAGCCGTGACCGCCGTGATCGAGACCGTTCCAGGTCGCGAGAACGCCGTCGTGATCGTTCTCGTGATCGCAACCGTGATGATCGTCGTGGTGGTCGTGACGACGACCGTCGCCGTGAGCCTCAAGAGCCCGCAAAGCCCCGCGAGCCGAAGAAGTACCGTTTCTGGGATGTGCCTCCAACTGGCTTCGAGAATATCACTCCAATGGAGTACAAGAATATGCAGGCATCTGGAGCAGTACCACGTGGAAGTGTGCAATCGGCAGTGCCAGTTGTGGGACCATCGGTGACTTGTCAATCGAGACGTCTCTATGTTGGAAACATCCCATTCGGATGTAATGAGGAGGCAATGCTGGACTTCTTCAACCAACAAATGCATCTGTGTAATTTGGCTCAAGCACCAGGAAACCCGATCCTTCTCTGCCAGATTAATTTGGACAAGAACTTTGCGTTCATAGAGTTCCGATCCATAGACGAGACAACCGCTGGAATGGCTTTTGATGGTATCAATTTCATGGGGCAACAACTGAAAGTCAGACGTCCAAGAGACTACCAACCATCGCAGAATACATTCGATATGAATGCGCGTATGCCGGTCTCATCGATTGTCGTCGATTCGGCCAACAAGATCTTCATCGGAGGATTGCCAAATTATTTGACAGAGGATCAAGTAGGTTTTTGGGGATGTTATCCGATGGATAGCTTTGAAAATATCGTGAATTTTGAATATCATCCATAATTGAGAGTGTTTCAGCGCTCCCGCTGCCTCTACCTCGTTCTCTTGTGGATGATCGTGACCAGTGTCGAAAATATACACATTCAGACAGAAATTTCCAGATTTTTAGGGCGTTTCCGGCTTTTTTCAGAGCTTTTCAGACAAATTCTCCTATTTCTAGGGCCTTTTCAGACAAAATTCCAGACTTTTTAGCAGGGTTCCGTTGTAGAACGCTTTTCAGACAAAATTCCAGACATTTTGGCCGTTTTTTGGCATCTCCTCCTGAAGTTCAAAACCTGAAAGTTTCAGACCAAATTCCAGATTTCCAGATTTTTAGGGCTTCTAGCACACTTTTAGGTATCCTCTCGATGACCCAGTTCAGCTGAAAAGTCGCATTAAAAAGTGACAATTTCTCTAGTTTCCTTCAAATTGACTAACCTTGTCTCTTTTTCAGGTCAAGGAGCTTCTCTGCTCGTTCGGACCACTGAAGGCGTTCTCGTTGAACGTCGACTCGCAAGGAAACAGCAAGGGATACGCCTTCGCTGAGTACTTGGACCCTACCCTCACTGATCAGGTAAGCAATTAGACGTTTTTCTAGTTATTTTGATCTTTTCTGGTGTGTTTAGGACCTAGTTTTAGTTTTTCCAGGGATAAATTTGACTCCAGAAGATCAATTAATCCTAATTATTATTCTTCAGGCTATCGCTGGACTCAACGGAATGCAGTTGGGAGACAAGCAGCTCGTCGTTCAACTCGCCTGCGCCAATCAGACCCGTCACAACACCCATCTCCCCAACTCGGCATCAGCGATCGCTGGAATCGATCTATCGCAAGGTGCTGGTCGTGCGACAGAGATTCTGTGTCTGATGAACATGGTGACAGAGGACGAGTTGAGAAGTGACGAGGATTATGAGGAGATTCTCGAAGACGTTCGTGAGGAGTGCTCCAAGTACGGAATCGTTCGCTCGTTGGAGATTCCACGTCCGTATGATGATCATCCGGTGCCAGGAGTTGGAAAGGTAAAGATAGAAAATCTGAAGTTACCCTAGATTTCCCTATTTCAGGTATTCGTCGAGTTCGCCACCACCTCGGATTGCCAACGTGCGCAGGCCGCTCTCACTGGACGCAAATTCGCGAATCGCACCGTCGTCACCTCCTACTACGACGTCGACAAGTACCATAATCGTCAATTCAATTAAATCTCAAATTCTTCTCAATATATTCCACATTTAACCCCTCCTGTACCTTCATTTTATTCTGTTAGTCAGTGTGATCTATTTCAATAGAGCGTATTTGCTGACCGTCCCTTCACTGTTTATTACCTATATTTTATCCTTATCCACCCCTCTCTACCTACATCTACACCAACCAAAAATCCATAAATTTAAGAGAGATTTATTCAATTTTTCTAAATTAGAAGTTCTAATAATTATTGAAATATTTAGCTAGGCACTCCTTATCCTCAACATTCACAAAGAACATTCGATGTACCCCCACTCCTGTATTCATGGATTGCAAGAAGACATACTTCTGCTGCTCCAGAATGCGGAAAATGAAGTCGTGGAACACCTGAGCGCCAGCTGGGGCGAATCTCGAGTGGACTTCCATGTTGAATTGACAGAATTTGACGTCTTCGTGGATTTTATCAAGGAATTCAAATTCGCCGCCTTCGATGTCGATCCAAGCGAAGTCGATTTTCTGGAAATCGTGACCTTTTATATATGCAATCGCTTTCCTGCTTCAAGTTGTGCCACCGTAGCTCAGCTGATAGCGGCGCGCACCACCTGAGGCCGCAAGTTCAACTCACCCGAGGGTTTTTTGTTTTTTTTTTCTTTTTAATTGCCCCCACCTTCAAATCTTGACGAATTGCTCACCTTTAACTTCAAAATATCATGTAAAAAGTACAAAAATGGAATCGTAGTCACATCCTGATAGACATATCTTCTTGTCTTTTGACTTTGATTAGGTAGAACTCTGAATTTCGTGAATCCTGGCTGTTTTCCAATTGCAAATGGAAAGAATTTTCCAAATGCAGAGTACATTTGACGATTTGGCTCAATTATCGGGTCGGCTCCATAGAATTTGGTATTTGGGATGGTTCGATTAAGACGTTCTTCGGCTTGAGTGTCGTGACCAACGCCAAGGGTTACTAGGATGTTCTCTTCTTTCTGGAAAAATCGATGTTTAATAAATCCTGGGAATTCTGAAATTTTCAGTGTTACTAAAGAAAACTAGAGCTTCATTTTCGTAGTTGACCACTTTTTCATAGCTACAGTAGTTTTGGAGCTATGCGCCTTTAAAGATTCCAGTGAGGAGGGAGGCCCCGGTTATGCTCTCTATGAACGTGCATATCCTAAAAACGATGGTAGCTATTTACACAATAGCACTCTACAAAAGCTAGATTATATCCATCTGTACAATAGATGTCAAAAATATGTCAACTAAAAAAATGTTGGAAAGGGAGGACCAACATTTTATCAGTTAACAACATTTTCATAGCTTTTGAAGGAACCGAGACAATTCACCTCAAAGTGCAAGAATAGGGTCTTCTATTAAAGTTTTTACGCTATCTTTCTTATCAGTCTCCAATAGCTTCTCATTGCTCAGGCGGAACCATATTGGATTTCGCTCTAAACATAGAAAACGTTTGAAAAACTTATCATAATTTCAGGGAATTTCAAACTTTACTGATTCACTTCACATAATTCTTCAGAACACGTATTTGCCGTAAAACTTGTAATAGAAAGGTCCCCACACTGTTAAGTTTGAGCTCAAGTATATCGGTTTCTATGCAAGATATCAAAATATGTCGAC